ACCCCTAAAGAAAACCCTCTCATTTGAAATGTCCTTTCCACTTACCCTACTCTGAATAATGGCTTGCTTTTTAAACTCTCTTGTTTTTCTAAATATTAAAATTTCAAAGGAAGGATATTTTTGAGTTCAAAGCGCCTGTTTCAAGTCTTAAATGGTTTTCTTGGTCTGGCATTCACCAGAAAGAATTTTTAAAACAGTATCCTATAGGTTGGTTCAGTAGCTGAAATGACTGTTCCAAGCCAGCATTGTTGGCACATAATGCTGAGATAAATCTCCACCCCACACCCAAATCTTTACTATTTATTGTGTTCTGGGTCCTAGAGAGGTCATCTGGACCATCCCTCTCTCTCCAGGCAGGCTAGTAGTGGGGGGCAGTGAAGGTGGGATTTGTTTGAGCCAATAGACCAGACTCACACAGCACTGACCTCCCAAACTTCTCGGCCTGTTGGGTAGGTTGACTGAAGGCTGGAGCTGCCTGGAGTAGGAGGCCGTACAGTCTTTTCATGCCCTCTGACCCCATGACTAGGAGATGGTCAGTTCACCCTGAACTGGCCCCGGCAGCTGGGATTCTTAGACCAATGGCCCAAATCCACCCTGGACTTCCTACTGTTTCCTGGCTCTGAGCTTCTTCCAAACCACACTGTGTAAAACTTGAAGATTCAGAAGGATGAATTGCTGAAATCCAAAGCAAGCCAGTTCCTGTCATCTTGCCTCACTGGTTCTTATGTCTGGTTCCTCAGTCATTCTGTGTATCTCAGGTCACTTGCCCCATTCTTGCTACAGAATTGTCAGTTTCTAGGAATGCCATCATTTCTCAGTGGAGTGCTATTGACATTTGAGGTGAGCCCTTCTCTGTCCCATGTATTACCAGTTATCTGCCCTGGTTCAGTCCAGTCATTATGACAACCAAGAATTCATTCTCAGCCTGGAGTTGGGGGGTGGGTGTAGTGCAACCCTCAACCTGGTGGGGAGGAATACTGCCTTCAGTCCGTGGGGAGCAGTGCCAGTTTCAGCCTGTGGGAGGCAGTACCATCTTCAGCCTAGTGGGGGACAGTACCACCTTCAGCCTGTGGGGGACAGTACCATCTTCAGCCTGGTGGGGTAGTACCATCTTTTGCCTATGGGGGGCAGTTCCATCTTCAGCCTGTGGGGGGGTGCAGTACCCTCTTCAGCCTGGGGAGGGCACTACCCCTAGCTGAAGACCCTGAGTTCATAGCTGTATGTTCTGAGGGTTAGGCATTTCTCTTCCATCTTGAATTCCCAGCACCCGGCACAGTCAGTGCCAGACCTGTGTTGCTGCTAAGTCACTTCAGTCGTGTCCGACTCTGTGTGACCCCATAGACAGCAGCCCACCAGGTTCCCCCGTCCTTGGGATTCTCCAGGCAAGAATACTGGAGCGGGTTGCCATTTCCTTCTCCAATGCATGAAAGTGAAAAATGAAAGTGAAGTCGCTCAGTCGTGTCCGGCTCTTAGCGACCCCATGGACTGCAGCCTACCAGGCTCCTCCACCATGGGATTTTCCAACCAAGAGTACTGGAGTGGGGTGCCATTGACTTGTGTTAGGATATCGTAACTATTTGTCAAATGAATGAGAATGAAATCCATGAACAAGCTTCAAGAAGATCTGTGAATCCTGTAAAACTGTGTGCAAAATGGGTCTTTATATTGTGCGCATTGTATCCATATGTTTTCCTGGGGGTAAGGATTCTAGCATCCACCAGATTCTCCAAGGGAAATTGTGATCTACACGGATGTTGGGGTGACTGGTCTAACCAGTGTCAACTACTAGGCTCATGTTTGAATCCCTACAAACGGCGTTGCACAGTGGGTGTGATCTGAGCTTTAGAGCTACTGGTCCATACCATGATCCTGATACCCTTGCAGAAAGAAATGTCCTGAGAATTGCAGGGGACACTGCTCCCCCAAGTTCATACACTTCTGTAGTGCAAGGGCGGTATTCTATCCTTTAACAAGAAATGACCTTGAAGCTGGGCACTTGGACTCCCTGACAGGAAAGTTTGGTGAGAAGACGACAGGAGGGATATATTTTCCTCCCAAACTCAGGAGTGCTTTTGGGTGGCTTTCTTAATGAAAGACAAAGAAACTGGTGATATCACTCTGCTTCCTGTAAGCTGGGGCTCATGCAGCAGCTCGGCAGAGGGCAGCTGAGCCCAGCAAGGGAGCAATCATGACTCGCTTCCTTCCTGAGAATTCACTGTCGATGCAATTGTTTAAGTAAAACATGACGTGCTGAGGCAGGAAGGACAGCTGGGCGGAGTCGGTGGCTGAGTGGAGGGCTCAAGGTCCGGAAGCATCTGCAGACCTGAGCAAAGGTTCACACCCAGCCCGTGGCCCTGTGGGACTGCAGTTTGGCTGCACTGTGGTGGCTTTGTAAGAGGTCTCGGATGGAAGGGTGTGGCAGGTGTTAACATGATGATGGCTGATCCCTGAGGCTTTCCCAGCATCAATCTGCCCATTTTGGGATTGTCCTGTCCTAGGAAGAGATGCTCTAGGATTCTAGAAAGGGAAGTTGTCCAGGGGAGGGGACAAAACTGAAAGCTGGAAGTGCCCGAGACTGACTCTGAACTCGGAGTCAATCTCGGGCACAATGAAGCGTTTACCAAGAAGTCTATGATGTCATTCGCCCCAGAAGGATCATTCTTTTTGAAGTAGCTTCCAGCATCTGGACTAGATCAGTCATGAACCTAGAAACTCCCTCAGGGGAAGATGGAAGCTGAGGAACTAGAGTTCAAAGCAGGCTTCTCAAACCATGTGTGTGTTATTCAGTCGTGTCTCACTCTTTGCAACCTCATGGACTGTAGCCCACTAGGCTCCTCTGACCATGGGATTCTCTTGGCAAGAATACTAAAGTGGGTTGCCATTACCTTCTCCAGGGGATCTTCCCAACCTGGGGTTCAAACCTGGGGCTCCCACATCGCAGGCAGAGTCTTTACAGTCTGAGCTGCCAGGGAAGCCCTCTCAAACTTTAGTGTCCCTAAAAAGTCACCCAGAGAGCTTGTTAAATCAGACTCTTGGGCCCTGATTCCACAGTTGATTCAGCAGAAGCCTGAGACTCTGCATTTCTCATAAGCTCCTAGGTGCTACTGATGCTGCTGGCCTGGGGACCCCACTGTGAGAACCACTGGTGTCCAGTGGCGGGTTTCACACTGTGCTCCACGCTGCCCCCTTGTGGGAGAAGGAGGGATGAGACCAGCGAGTGAATGGGGCTCCACGCCCTCACCCCCAACTACACCCAAGACCCCTCCCAGTCTTCTTTACAAATCTGGTTTCTGTGATTGAAAAAAGAAACCCTTGATAAAAAGAAGGAGGGTGGGGGAATCCTGACCTGGAAGAGGTGGGTCCAAACATGCATGGGGGGTACCCCAGAGAAGCGAGCTTCCCCACCCCACATTCTAGTGTGCCCAAGTCAGGGGACAGCCTCTAACTATAACCTGAGAACATTCGAAGCAGACAAACCCCAATAACCAGCTAAGTGAGTAGAAACCATGGCAGGCATCACCTGTTGTGCCTGCCCGCCCCACGCCCACCCCCTGCAGGGCCACAGAACCCACTCCCTGGGGACCGCGGCCAGAGTTGCGCCCGGCTGCACCCGGCGGGGTTCCCAGGCTGTCTGCATGCTAGCCGCCCAGGTCCCGTGGGTGCAGGGCTGCAGCCTGGTCCAGGAGTTTGCCCAGCGGTGTCTGGATGTGCCCACATTGGCCCTGACCCCAGGCCCCTTGAGAACCTCGGCATAGCCACCTCATCCTCCATAAACCAGACCTGAGATAACCATCTGCCCCACTGTAGCTGGGACCCAACAGCAGTGATCTGAGGTAGGAGCCCAGGCTCTGATCACAGTGTCAGGGTCCTGTCTTGGCTTCACCATCATTCAGGTTGGGTGAGGCAACCTCTCGAAGCCTCAGTTTCTCCATCTGTAAAATGGAAATAATTGTAGGGTCTAAGTGAGCGTTAAACACAGCTGTCAGGATCCAGCTCCTGGGACAGCACCTGGCATGGAGGGAGCCCTCGCGGAGCGTCAGCCAGCTGTCACTACGGCTTCACACTCTCAACACTCAGCGGTTCTGCTGAAGCAGGCATGCACCATCTGTGTTAGCTTCCTGCGGCTCTGTAAGAGATGACCACAAACTTACTGTTCACTCGCTCAGTTGTGTCTGACTCTTTACGACCCCATGGACCACAGCACGCCAGGCCTCCCTGTTCTTCACTGTCTCCAAGTCTGCTCAAACTCATGTGCATTGAGTCGGTGATGCCATTCAACCATCTCGTCCTCTGTCACCCCCTTCTACTCCTGCCCTCAATCTTTCCCAGCATCAGGGTCTTTTCCAACCTCATGAACAGTATGAAAAGGCAAAAAGAGATGCCCACAAACTGGGTGGGCTTAAAACAACATTAATTTTGTCCTAGTTCTAGACAGGAGTGGGCAGGGCCATGTTCCTCTGAAGGCTTCGGAGGAGAGTGTGTTCCATGCCTTTCCCTGAGCTGATGCTGCCAGCAATGCCTGGCATTCCTTGGCTTGTAGACGCGTCTCTCTAGTCTCTGCCTCTGTTATCATGTGGCATTCCTTGTCTGTCTCTGTGTCCACAAGAACAACAGTCATATTGACTTAGGTCCTGCCCCAACTGAATATGACTTCATCTTTTTTTTTAATGTTAATTATTTTTTGGTCACATCACATGGCATGCACTGATCTTAGTTCCCCAGCCAGGGACTGAACCCAGGCCCCCCGCAATGGAAGTACAGAGTCGTAACCACTGGCCTGCCCTGTGGAGTCTGGAGTGTGACTCCATCTTAATTTGATTGCATCTGGAGTCCCTATTTCCAAATCAGCTCACCTTCACAAGTGCTGGTGTAGGACTTGGACCGATCTGCTCAGGGGACGACGACGGTCCCCCCCGGCCCGAGGCTGCAGGGCCCTGGGGAACCTTCCCCTGGAAGTTCCCCGGGCCTGGACTGAACGCTCCCGTGGTTGTGTTTTGCAGGGTGTTCAGACTTACACCTCTTGGATATGCTGACCCCAACTGAGAGAAAGCGACAGGGGTACATCCACGAGCTCATCGTCACAGAGGAGAACTACGTGAATGACCTGCAGCTGGTCACAGAGGTGAGGGCGGCTGGGGGTGCGGGCGGGGGGCCGGGGTCCCTGTCAAGGAGGCAGGGTCCTCCTTCCCAGGCTGAGAAGCTCTCAGGTGTCTGGGAGCCTCTGGACAGGACGTCACGTAGGAGATGCTTTCCCGAGAGAAGAGGGTTCCTTCTCATCCATGGTCAACTGGGAGTCCTGTCCACAGAGGGGGCAGAGGTCCCTCAAGCCCCAGAGGAGGCCTGGGGCGGGACACGCGGGCGGTGAGGTGGGCATCGGGGCCCCACTCAGACAACTTGCCACCAGCTACCTGACGCCACGGAGCGCCACCTCCCAGCCCCTGGCAGTGGCGTTTCAACGCGGCAGCCGGGGGGCTGCTAGCTTGAGTTATTCCTCATGCCGCCCATCACTCCCGAGAAGGGTCTGTGAAAGGGAATGAAGATGCTTCCTCCCCAGGACCCCCTGCACACACCCCCGACCCCATCTGGGACGATGCCTCATTTTGGCTTTCCTCCCAGGGAACTCTTGACAGGCCTTGGCTGCCTGGTCCAGGCGGATGAGAAGATGCAGAGTTGGGAACCCCCTGCTTTTCGGGAAGCTTTTGGTCCAGACACGTGGGATGTTGATGTGTTAGGGGTCGGGGGCTTGCCGAGCTGGGTGTCCAGGTGCCCCTATAGTTTGCGAAGTACTGTAAGAGTGTGGGAACCACACCCCCACCCCCAACAGTCATGAAACCGTCTCCCCTGATCATCTCCTCCTTACTAACCTGGGAAGACAGGGCTTGCTGACCCAGTGTGGAGTGGTCCAGGACGCAGGGTGGGTTGATGGCCCCTAAGGCCATCATGAGTGCTTAGGAAGCACTGGGATGAAAAGCACCACTTTCTCAAGACACGGGACTGTCACTAAGAGTCTCGGCTGTCAAGGGTGTGCGTGTCACGCCCTTAAATGTGGCATATTGTGCATGGCGAGGCCTGGTTCAACATCAGCTTGAGGACCTGTGAAGGGTAGGGGCTCCCAGGGATCAGCCTCAGCCCGGCCAAGTTTATTTCAAAGACAGGCTGAAATAAACTAAGGTCCCTAAAAAGCTAGGTCCCTAAGGAACCTTCCAGTGAGTGGCCTGCCTCCAGCGGTAGCAACCACCTCTCTCTAGGCAGGGGGCTTGCCATGGGGGGGCTCAGCTGAGATCCGTGATGCACTGCAAGTGGCCCACCCCTTCGGGGCTAGGCCTGGAGTCCAGGAGAGGAGCCGCGCCCCCTCGGGGCTAGGCCTGCACCCCCTGGCTCTGCCCGAGGTCCAGCTCCAGCTGTGGGCAGGGCCGTGGGGTCCATCCCGTCCCCAAGGCTGCTGGGTGGAGGCCCTGCTCCCCGGGAGCTCCTGAGGCTTGTCTGGGCCGTAGACGCTGGGCCAGGAATGTGTGAGCCACCCCCCACCAACCCAAGGGCATCTCTCAACCCCCACGTCTGGCCCATGGCCAGCTGGTGAGAGCGTGAGTGCCTTTGTCCATAGCCCCCAGCTGAGTCCCGGCCAAGTTCAGGCCCGTCCTCCAGAGTTTAGCGGGCCCCCTTGTAAACCTGTGCATGGACCCGATGGGGAACCCTGGCCCCATGCCCCCTGCAGCAGAGGGGGGACCACTTGCTTCAGAAACTTGGCGGCTTCTGAGCCCCCGAGCAGGGCTGCAGACGCCTCGGGCCTTCCTGTTGCTCTGAACAGACCGGTGCATTGCGTGTGTTTGAATTTCAAGCTAACTGTTTGCTTTCTGAACTGCTTCGTTTTCTGCATCTGTAGATCTTTCAGAAACCCCTGATGGAGTCTGAGCTGCTGACAGAAAAAGAGGGTGCTATGATTTTTGTTAACTGGAAGGAGCTGATTATGTGTAATATCAAACTACTGAAGTAAGCCTCTCCTTTCTAACCCCGCCTGGCTTCGCGCTCACACACTAGCACCCTGCGTGGCTTCACGCGTGTGTCCTGTCTGTGCATGCCCGCCGCGTGTCTCCCTACCTCTCTTCTTCATTTCCGCTCACAGACACCATCTCTCTTTCTCGCCTTGATGCCTTCTAGAATCACAGTCCCAGTTCTCCCTGGGGAGGGTGGATTTCCCGGGTCTCCCAGTTCCTGCTTTTACCGTGGTTCTAGAATGAACAGAGAAGGGCTGATCCTGGGTCCTGATCCCTGACCAGCCCTACCCGGGGTGGGGGGCAGGCCCCATGCCTTCCCTCAGACCCAGGATCCACAGGGGGGCACGTTGGTCTCTTGGGACTTTCCTGCCTCCTGAAGACGGGAATCAGTGGGACCATCCATGGCCACGGTCCACAGTGGTTCTCAGGATGTCCCTCTGAGATGCTGTCCTGAAGCAGTGGCTATTTTATTCATATTTTAGTTCCCAGTCACAGCTGTGGGTCCAGGGAGAAACACTGGGCCGGGAGTCTAGAGACCTGGGCTTGGAGCCCTTCTCACAGCCCTGCCTCAGTTTCCCCACCTGTAAAAGGAAGGTATTGGATTGTACCATCCAATCCCTAAAAAGAAACCTCCAATCTCTGTCCGCCAGGCCCTCAGTATAGCATCACTTGCTAGAACACATATTAGGTCCACAGCGATCCTGGGATCCCAGGGGCAGCACCCAGGCCCTGGGAACTGGTGGTTCCTCCTGATCTTTAGGTTCGTGTAAATGGGAAGCGGCTCTTTCCTGGATGTGGTCCCTGGGATTTGCTGGAGTGATGTCAGGTCTCCGCTGTGAGTGTGTTTGGGGGTGGACGAAGGAAGAGAGGTGCGGCGAGGTGGACACGAAGCCAGTGCATGACATCCTCTCTCTGTGCGTTCCAGAAGACAAGTGATCCAAGACGACGGAATGAGAACGGTTTAGAGGAGTATTTCCATTCCTCTCCCTTGGGAAAGACGCTGCAGGGCCTTCTAGCATAGATCTGCGTCGGATTCTCGGGCTCACACCCTGGCCGTCACCTGTGCCCCCGAGCCTCAGAGCGCTCATCTGTAAAATGGGGTAGCAACCACCACGCAGGGTTCTCATCCAGGAGCATTTAGACTCCAAGTGCCTGGTCCATACAAGTGCTGGGCTTGGGCCCTGGGTGCGCTGAGCACCCACTCTTGCCTCCGGAGAGAGGCTGCCTTGTCACTTGGGGGCAGGTGGGCTCATTAATCCCTGAACCTACAAGCACTAAACCTAAAGGGCAGGAGACGAGTTGTTTTGAAACACACGCACAGACCTGCTGTGGAAAACACACCTACATGGTAACACCACTTTCCCTGGGTGAGTGTGTGAGGGGGTGGGGGGGGGGAATGTGTCCAATGTTCCGGAGAGCCCCTCACCCCCACCGCAGGGTCCCCCTTGCTTTTCTGCCTTCGCACTTTAACCCTCCCTCCTGCTCCTGACAGGGAGCCACAGGCCCCTTTCTTGAGCTCTGTCAAGGCCAGGCCCGTGTGCCACTCCTAGCACCGATGCGCTCCACAGCCCCAGAGGTAGGAATCTAGAGCGCTCTTGCTGCTGTGGAAACAAGGCTCAGAGAGGCCGAGTGACTTGTCCAAGGCCACACAGAAGGTGGTCAGGGCTCCGGGCTGCTCTGTGGATGCCGCTCAGGGCCTACTAGGGGTTCCACCCGGCTCTATCCTCGATGGAAAGCAGCTGACACCAGGAGGCAGGCATCTCAATTTTTCATCTGGGCTTCAGCACCTTCTAGCTCATTTTGGGCAGTTATCTCAGGCAGGTAACTCCCCAACCCTTTGTTTCAGAAGCTGTAGGATTGCAGTCAGAGCACCTGCCCGGTCTAGCATGCAGGGTTATTCCAGGGAGCAAGTAGATTAGGTGTACAGTTGGTACTTTGCCAATTATGGCCCCACCGGGCACCACCTTCTACCATCTCTGATGACCTGATTGGTTAGTTTGGCTAAGCTTTTTATCTTCCAGATAAAATATTAATACTTGTATTTAGCAAGAGCTTTCTGGGGACCTGATTTCCTTCTTTCTTTCTTCTCTTCTTTTTTCCCTTTGCAGCATCTTATTATGAAAAGTTTTCAAACATACCAGGAAAAATGGAAAGAATTGTATGGTGAGCGCCCATATTGTAGATTATACAATTTCACTGCATAGACTTAATGTCTTTGTGCAAAGGACTAATCCCAGCAATGGGAAGATTTAGGGCTTCTGGCACGATGGAAGAGGGAGGCATTTGAGGATGAAGAGAATTTAAGGCAGTGTCTCAGATAGTAAAGAATCTACCTTCTATGCGGTAGACCCAGTTTCAATCCCTGGGTTGGGAAGATATCCTGGAGAAAGTGAAGCTGCTCAGTCATGTCCTGACTCTTTGTGACCCTGTGGACCGTAGCCTGCCAGGTTCTGCTGTCCGTGGGGATTCTCCAGGCAAGAATACTGGAGTGGGTTGCTGTTTCCTTCTCCAGGGGATCTTCCCGATCCAGGGATCGAACCTGGGTCTCCTGCATTGCAGTCAGACTTTTCACCCTCTGAGTCACCAGGAGGGAATGGATGCCCACTCCAGTATTCTTCCTTGGAGAATCCCATGGACACAGGAGCCTGGGGGGCTGCAGTCCATGGGGTCGCAAAGAGTCGGGCACCACTGAGCAACTAGCACTTTGATATTCGTTCCCTGGAGGGCTGCAGTGGACAGTCACTCATGTGCCTGATCCAAGGGCCAGCGACAACTTGTACTTAAAGGGGGACATAGGGTTTATCAAACAGATAAATAAGAAACAAACATAACGAACATAAAAGAGGGCTACCTGGGGCTCTCAGACTTCTTATTCAGACTTCTTACTTCTTACTTGCTTCTGGGCTCTTTTACCTGTGAGCAGAGAGCTGAGAAATTTGCCTTCAAAAGGAGAGTAGGACAGAAGAATCTAGAACATTTTACAATTAAGAGCTAGATGCAGACCTTTAGGAGTGGCTATTAGAAGAGATAGGAGAAGGGGTGCAGGAGTGAGATAGGGCATGTGGGACCAAGTGCTGGCAATGGTTTTTAATCGAGATCTTTTCCTGTTTCCTTGCTTGAAGAAATAAAAATAAATGAAAGAGCTTCTCCAAAAAAAAGTTTTTCTTAAATATTAAGTATTCAATTTTCAACTTAAGTATGATAAGAAGAAGATAACAAGAATAATTTAAGAAGAAGACACAATTTTCTCTAAGGCATAAAAACAAAGAAAAATGAATTAGAAGTAGAAAACGTACCTTGAATAGACAGCTGGTGGAACCCGCTATATAGCTCAGGGCGTTCAGCTCTGTGCCCCGTGATGACCTCTGGATGGGGTGGGGGGGGAGGCTCCAGAGGGAAACGGTGTGTGCACACTTATATCTGACTCACGGCTCTGCACAGCAGAAGTTAACACGACATTGTAAAGCGACCATACTCCAAAGAGAGAGAAGTCGCTCAGTCGTGTCTGACGCTTTGCGACCCTGTGGGCTGTAGCCCACCAGGCTCATCCGTCCACGGGGTTTTCCAGGCAAGAATCCTGGAGTGGGTTGCCATTTCCTTCTCTAGGGGACCTTCCCGACCCAGGGATAGAACCCAGGTCTCCCGCATTGCAGGCAGATGCTTTACCATCTGAGCCCCCGGGAAGCCCGAGGTATACTATACTCCGAGGTATATGCCAAAAAAAGATACCCTGGTGGGTAAAGACAGGGTCGGGAGAAGGAAGGAAGGAAGGACTTTGGCTGGGCGTGGACAGGGTGAGAGGGGAGGTGGCAGTGCCTTGGAGCGGGGGAGAGGAAGGCCGGGAGGGAGAGCGGAGCAGGGGGCTGGGGAAGGCCCACTTGGAGGGACGGCAGGAGCTGCACCCACGGCGAGGAGGGCCGGGAGCCCAGGGCAGCTGGAGTGGAGGTGGGACTGCCCTTGGCGCTTATCCTCTGTGGGCTCTGTAGTCAGACCCCGCCCCTACCCCAAGTTCCAGGGTGTCCTGTCACCCATGAGCTGTGTAACTCTGGTCAAGTCACTCGGTTTCCACATGCCTCAGTTTCCCCAACAGTCAAGAGGGATACTGTTGGGTTGGCTGAAAGACTCATAACGGATTTCTCATACCATCTTACGGAGAAACCTAAATGAAATTTTTGACCAACCCGATAAGTCATATATGCTTTAAAAAAAAAAAAAGTGTTTGATGTCTAGGACACATTCATGAAAGCTGACTCTCTTGCCCGTTCCCTTGATCCGCAAATTTCAGAGGGTTACTCATTCACTCAGCAAACAGCGGGCACTCCGATGCATTCACTGACTGAGTTGATTTCTGTCGCAGTTCAAGACCTTGCGTGTATAGAGCTTTCTGTGAGGTTACGGATCAGTCCCCAGGGGCGGCGCTGTGGCTGCAGCACTGATGTGATCCCTGAGCCTGGTACCAGCCCCTGTTTCCAGCCCCTCCAGCCCAGTCCTGTGCAGTAGAACATCCCAGAAGGAGGCCCGCAGCTAAACCTAACAGGTGCCTGGTCCTTTGCAGGGGCCTGATTCCAGGTCTGCCCCCCTCCACAACATCAACTCAAATCTACAAGAGTGGGCCTCCAGAACCTGGGACCCGGCTTAACTTCCTCAACACAGTGATGATCTGCTTGTCATCTTTTCCCTTTTCCTTGTCTCCTCATCATTTAGAAAAAAAAAGACAAAAGAGGGAGGCAGGTAAAAACACTTTTATTCTCTTGCAGAAAGACTGTGTTACTCCTCATTGGAAAATCATGGAATGATGGAATTTCTTCCTGTTTCCATCTTCCCAAGTTTGTATTAATAACCTGGTTACTCACCACACTCGTCCCCTAGAATTGGTGGCGATTTCGCCCTTGAGCAGATTTTTACATGTGGGGAGATACTCCACACCAGCCCTGCAGTGGGCAGCCGCCACCTGGCCGTCCTCGGAGTACCAAGCTGCCACTCCTCATGCCCCAGCCAACCAGCAATGACCAGCACCTCTTCCTACAATGGCATCTGCTTAAGGGGGGAATCGCTCATTGTTTAGACCATATAAGGCACTGTCCCTAAAGTTTCTTTCCTTAGCTTGCTTGCCCAGTCCAAAGATTAAAAAATTTTTTTCTTTAACCGAAGATGTGGGAGAAAGAAAGTAATCTGAAGTTTCTAATACTTAGACTGCAGCACCTTTTGGGAACCATATAGCCCTACCTACAACCATGAAGGCAACCAGAGGAATTCATAGTAACATCCTCCTACACTTATGTTGAAATCATGTATTACACCATTCTGTTCTATCCATCCATCCGTTGATCATCCATAATCACTAGGGTAAGCACAACACGCCCATGGCCTCCCACGTTGTGGCCTCGCCTCCTGGTATATTGCTGTCCTTGTGTAGAAGCTCAGTACTGTGCCCTTCTTATCGTTGTTGGTTAGGAGTTGCCATAGAAGTTAGGAGGGTGAGATGCACAGTCCCAGCTCCCACGGCCCTGAGCACTAAGACTGCAGTGAACTTCCGAACACTTTCCAGTCCCTCTGGTCCCTTCTCGACTTCCAGGACGTATGTTGTTTGGGTCCATTGACCCATTATCATATAAATAGCCTTCTCTCTTCAGAACTCTCTTAATCCAATCAACTTCAAGTTAGCCACAGGAGTGAAGCAGTGAAGCACAGATAGTTCAGACCATCATTTAAACCTGGCTTTCCTGGACATAGGCTTCCCTGGTGGCTCAGAGGTTAAAGCGTCTGCCTGCAATGTGGGAGACCTGGGTTCGATCCCTATGTCGGGAAGATCCCTGGAGAAGGAAATGGCAATCCACTCCAGTATTCTTGCCTGGAGAATCCCATGGACGGAGGAGCCTGGTGGGCTACATACAGTCAACAGTGTTGCAAAGAGTCGGACTGAGCGACTTCACTTTCACTTTCCTGAACGTAATGGGATTATTTTCCTGTGGCAGTTGATTTGCCATCTTCATTGTGTTTTGTTTGATCTGAAATTGAGCCTCCATGGCCCTTGGCCACAACAGCTTCCCTTGGGTGGCAGCACTGGTCTTGGAAATGGATTCAGGGCTGAGGCCAGGCCAGCCTGGATGGACCATGCATCAAGCGAGATATCCACCCAGGGATCATGTCCTAATTATTTTTTTTAAAAGAAGGATTCTATATATTTCCACATGAAAATATTGTCTTTTATACTGGCTTGTTTGGCAAAAAAAAAAAATTTTTTTTTTTTTAGTCTTTCTAAGAGCCAGCCAATAACCATCATGCCAAAAAAAATGCCCCAGGGACACCTCTCTGTAGCACCAGACTCATTTCTTCTTCTGTTCCTGTCTCCCACATAGATGCTTAGTGGCCCTGGGTTTGTGCCCTCACACACATCCCATTTCTGTGCCTTGAAGTGTGCTGTGCTCCCATCAGAGCGCGAAGGTGGGGTGCTCACTTGCTGCATTTCCGTGCAGAGCGCTGAGGGTCCGCAAGAAGATGTCTGGAGAGAAGATGCCCGTGAAGATGATCGGGGACATCCTGACGGCCCAGCTGCCACACATGCAGCCCTACATCCGCTTCTGCAGCTGCCAGCTCAATGGGGCCGCCTTGATCCAGCAGAAGACCGATGAGGCCCCGGACTTCAAGGAGTTTGTCAAAGTGAGGAGCCTCGGCTCAGCTGAGTCCCTGCCCCCCAAGGGGCCATCTGCAGGCAGCTGGTGTGCGATTGCACGTGCATGGAAGGTCTCAGCTGCACAGGAGGGGGCCTGGCCCTCACCGGCGGGTGTGACTGGGGCCGTGGGACTGGGCTTAGTGGGGAGGGACCAGCGCTGCGCTGGAAACTCCAATCTGCAGTCCAGGTGCACGTGGTGTTCTTGCAATACCGGTTTAAAATCCTTCGTCTCATTTTCAGGCCTAGGAGGACTGGCAGGTCTCAGGTCTCCTATTCTGTTTAATCTGAGTGCCCTCATTTTTCTGCTGCTCTCTCCCCTTTGCTGACAAAGGGAATCACAACGGACCCTTTAATTCTCTGCCTTAGTTGGTTCTTTTCGGTGAGCTCAGCCCTAGGAAGTCGGTGGGGGTGAGTGTGAGATGACAGGACCTCTGCTTTGTAGGATAACCAGAGTCTGGAGAGTCATGTGCCACCAAAGACATTGTGGGGAGGGGCCCCGAGCTGCTGGAGGCCTCAGGCTTTGAACCTGCTGCCCTGGGACCCGGCCTTGGCGGGGATGGTCCCTGCTGGCCAGGCCAGCCCACCCCATCAGCGCCCACCTCTCCCAGGGGGGAGAGGAGAGACTAAAATGACTTGTGCTAAGTGGGCACATTTTGATGAGTGGGCAGCAGAGTCATCATACTAATGACAAGCTTATCTTTGTGCCTCCTGGATTTGGGGTGGGGGACAGAGCTTTCCCACCTTCCCCATAACCGTGTTTGTGGCATCATCGCTGAGAGGTGAACGTGCCGCCTCTTCTGGGCTACAGCATCACATGTTCTCGTTCTTTCTTCCTCCCCTTGTTTCTGACATTAAATGTTGGATTTACTATCCAATGAATGGAATGTCTGAAGTCATTCTAAAGGAGAAACACGGCCAAGAAGTAGGCCTAGGGTGGGCTGGAGACTGGAGGTAGTGCTGGACTGGTGGGTACCACGGGCCCCCTGGGGGTCCATCCGAGGGCCAAGGGTCTCCCCTGGGTTCAGGCAGAATGAGTCCATCACTGCACGCACTTGAGCTTCAGGGAAGTGCTGACCTCAGCCCAGGGAGGGGCCTTATTTCCTCTCCCTTACTCGTGCCTCGCCTCATCACCTCTCCCGGCCTCATCCCTGCAGGACTTTGTCCTGCCTTTGACAGCTGCAAAGAGTTCCTGGAATAAGGGTGTTCACGGCTGGAGGGGGTCCAGGCACTGACAGGCCCTAGGGCTTGGGGCCCAGGTCATGGCATTAAACCCGTTCCTAAGGCCTTAAGCCTGACCAGAGAGCTGTCACCATATAACCCCTGTGACTTGTAGAACAAAGAATCACCTTTTTGGTGCGGAAGGACGCTTGTCCTCCAGTCCATTTGGCAAATGTGGAGAGAAAGAGGCGAAGGAGTCCAGAGTGGAGACAGCCGGAGTCCTGAGGGCCTGAGCATTGCGTCTCAGCTTCGCCATCTGCACCCTGCCTGGGGCTCCCACCAGCGCAGTGAACTTTGGGACTTGCAGTATCTCTGGCACTCAAAGGCATTCTTTTTCTGACCCTAGAGTTTTGTGACTCTCCTTGTTCCTAGGAATGCTGTAGAGTTTTGGCAGGTATCCAGAGGGGATATTCTCTGTAAAGCTAGAATCTCATCTCTGGAAGTTAGGAGCTGAGTATCCCCTGGAAGGTCTGTGGGACCTGGGAGCAGGGGTTAGCCCTGCCGCTGAGTCACAGCCGCTGTCAGCTGCCACTCCCCATCTGGAACATGCCTCCCCCTGGCCCGGGGCAACCAGCCTGGTCCTTCCAGCTCCAGGCTCCCCAGTTGTTGTCCAGATAAATGAGACAATGTGATGGGTGGGGAGTTGTGAATAACATCGATGTGATGTCACTAACCAGATTTTGCAGATTTTTAAAGTACATTAAAAAAAAATCTCTTATTTTTCAGAGACTGGCCATGGACCCACGCTGTAAGGGAATGCCCCTGTCTAGTTTTATACTGAAGCCCATGCAACGAGTAACGAGATACCCACTGATTATTAAAAATGTAAGTAACTGCCTTGCCTTTTCAAGCAGAGGAATGCTATCTCAGCAGGTCTGGGATCTGGGGTCATGGGCAGGTTCCCCAGCCAACATACCTGGTATCTGTTGTGTAGAAACTACACCAACAGGCTGTAGGAGGTGTCTGCATGGTAACTCCGAAAGAAAAGCTGAATTACTGTGAAAGTGTTAGTCTCTCAGTTGTCTCTGACTCTTTGCGACCCCCATGGACTGTGGCCCAGTGGGCTTCTCTGTCCATGGGATTCTCCAGGCAAGAATACTGGAGCAGGTAGCCAGTCCCTTCTCCAGGGGATCTTCCCAACCCGGGGATTGAAGCTGGGTCTCCTGCATTGCAGGCAGAGTGTTTACAGTCTGAGCCAGCAGGGAAGCCCCAGGAAGGTTTATTGTGAACAGAGCTAATAATACACACCTCTGCTGTGCAAACACGTGGCTTCCCCCTTCTAAGTCAGTACGCAAGAGCTCAGTTCTTTTCCTAACACAGGCAGAGTCTTGATGCCTTGGTTTTCCTAATAAGAAAGAGAGAAAAGTGAAAAGAAAGTGAAGTGGCTCAGTCGTGTCCTACTCTTTGGGACCCCATGGACTGTAGCCTATCCGGCTCCTCCATCCATGGACTTTTCCAGGCAATAATACTGGAGTGGGTTGCCATTTCCTTCTCCAGAGGATCTTCCCAACCCGGGTATTGAACCCAGGTCTCCCGCATGGCAGGCAAATGCTTTACCATCTGAGCCACCAGGAGCATGCTAAGAAGGAGAGAAAGGAATAGTTTCCACCACCTGTCCTCAGAAAGCCATTGTGAGACACTCTGTGTTGATATTAGATGATTGTTGTTCTCCTGTCATTTCAAGCAAGCCAATGCCAAACGAAAAGAAGAAATTAGGGTTGCAGTGTGCCCGCCCTTAAAGTGAGAGGACAGACCTAGATGTCCTCTGAGCCTGAGATTCTGTAAGTGCAGGGAGGGTGGCGTTTAGATCTGGGTCTTTTCAGTGGGGAGTTTAGACACCCACATCTGTACACTGGTGTGCTCACTGCTTCTGGGGTGTTGTTGCCTCTTGAGTCTCTCAGTGGCAGAATTGGGAAACATATATGTGTGTATACATCCATAGACACAGTTACATACACATAAGTGTACAAACATATATTTAAGATCACATATGTATACGTTAGAAGCCATGAGTTCGCACCAATAGTCCCTGTTCTAGTCTGATATCACAGAATGTATTCTCGCCTTCCCCCTTTCTGTGTATATAACTCCCTTCTCCATGAGGACCCCTGCTCTCATTATCCTCAGTATATTTACCCCCTTGCTGAATCCCCTTATAGGTCACAAGTTTCTGTCTCATGTAAGCATCTCCTCAGTCCAACCCCAGTTCCACCCCACAGAATACACTGTGGTCACTTTGGCTGAGTTAAATAATTAGTTTTGAAAGATGCTTTCAATCTACAGTTTCCTTTTCTCCAACATATGGTTACTGTTAAACTAACTCAAAACTTTGTTTACTTCCCACAATATTTAGTTGCAAATTGATGTTGGAAACAAGTTTTTAAAATCAGCATTCTAGATCTAGTCAATGGGAAGAAAAACAAAAACAAGAGGAGAACCGAGACATTAAAAAGGAAAAAACAAATTATCATTCTTTGCAGAAACATGATTTCCACCCCCTTGAGAACCCAAAAGGATGAATGGAAAACTAGCAAAACTAGGAACAGAATTTTAAAAGGTGGCAGTTATAAGATACAGATGGAAAGCTGTAAAAGCACCAAGACAAAATATTCTTTATAATTCTAAGATGGAGAAATTCTTAGCGTGGCACCAAAGACAGAGCTTTAAAGGATTTAGAGTTGCACCAACTTGAAAAAAAATACTTTCTTCTGGGAACAACTAGATGTTCATTAAGCAGAGTAGTTAAAGTGGTGAATCTGCACTATGAAAGAGACTTTTATGTATTAGTTGGAATGATATCTAGAAAATGCTATTAAGTAAAACAAACAAACAGACAAAACCCCTCCCAAGCCATCCTACAGTAGGGTCTGTTTTGGAAAAACTCTGGGTGGGTATTAAATGTATGTGGAGCATCTAAAGGGATGCCCTTTGCCCTGCGCAGGTTTACCTCTGAGGCAGGAAAGCAAAAGGGAGATAGCACAGTTGTTCTCAATATTCTGTATTATATGAATCTTGCGTATCAAGAACATTATTATTTGCATAAACATTTTTCTTAAAAAATTCCGTGTAACAAAATATAATGAACAGTAAAAGACCAATGACAGATATAAACTGAATAAACATTTTAACTGTATACAAGGAGATACTGAAATATATATAGATTGTGTATATATGTTTGTATCTAAAGCACTCTTACAACTCAAAAAGAAAAAGACAAATACTCTAATAGAAAAATAGGTTTTGAAAAAAGATAAAAAAGAAAAATAGGTAAAATCTTTAACTAGATGTTTCTGAGAGGACTGTGGAATAGTAGTCAAGAATGTGTTGTTAGGAACCAGGCTGCTTGGGTTTGAATCTCCCATACCACTGCTGTGTGTCCTTGGGCAACTTCGTTTACCTCTCTGGTCCTCGGTTCCTTTATCTGCAAAATAGAGACATTGATAATACCTACTGTATGGTGTTCTGAGAAGTTAGGTGAGTGAATGAATATATGTCTGTCTGGCTCATACTAAGCTATACATAGATGTTAGCTTTATCATTTAATGTACTTATGCGCTAAGTGTACACAAAATTCAAATTCTCTGATAATGAAAGAAATGCATAACTAAACAAGAAAATACATTGCTTTTGGCTTGCCAGGTAGGCATTTATTGAAAGGATTGTGAGTCCACAGTGTTGGCAGGTTTGCTCATGGAAGGTAGACTGGTTCAGCCTTCAGAGGGTGATGTAGACATCAAACTCCATGTTCTCTGTGGCTCAGCATTTCCATCTCTAGGAATTTATTCTAAAGAATTAATCAGAGAAATACTGAAAAGTATGAAGTTTTATGCATTGTGGCTCGTCCTTACAATGACATATTATAGAATCCTTAAAAATGATAAATATACTTCAATAAAAAATTTTAAAAAATTTTACTTTACAACATTGTATTGGTCATATGAAGTGATCATCATATGATGACGTATAATTCATATATATTAAATAACATGCTATAATTGCCATGAAGTGGGGAAAAAGCAAGTACAAAATGGTAGTGTAGTATGGCAGTGTGATCCAATTTTTATTCTTAAAAAATTATATATATTTTTATCTAGGCAGAATGTATTAACAAACAGGATGTGTATGTGTGCTTAGTCGCTCAGTCACGTCCAGATTTCTGTGTCCTCATGGGCTATAGCCTGCTAGGCTCCTCTGTCCGTGGGATTCTCCAGGCAAGAATACTGGAGTGGGTTACCATTCCCTTCTCCAGGGGACCTTCCCAACTCAGGGACTGGACATGTTTTTTGTATCTCCTGCATCGGCAGGAGGATTCATTACCACTAGCGCCACCTGGGAAGTCAGTGAATAGGAAAGACAGAGATTATTATCCGATGGCACAAATAAACGTGTTTTTTAGGTTCTTTATAACTTTCTAACTTTTCTAAATTTCATGCATTATACAATAGTAATTTTACAATGAGGAAAAGCAATATATCTATTTTCGTTTTTGAAAAAAAATAAATTCACACAATCTGCTACATGGGATTCCCGTCTAGAGCAGTGGTCCTCAGACTCGGTTGTACTTTAGAATTATCTGGGAAGCTTTAGAAAATTCCAGTGCCTGAGTCCCACCCCTGGGGATTCTGATATGGTCAGAGTTGAAGTCAGGACTTTTCAAAGGGATTTGAATGTACAGCCAGGATCCACCCAGAGCTAGAGTTGTGGTTTGGAAATGATTGTGAAAGTCACTCAGTCGTGTCTGACTCTTTGCAACCCCATGGTCTATTCAGTCCATGGAATTCTCTAGGCCAGAATACTGGAGTTGGTAGCCATTCCCTTCTCCGGGGGATCTTCCCAACCCAGGGATGGACCCCAGGTCTCCCGCATTATAGGTGGGTTCTTTTTTTACCAGCTGAGCCACAAGGGAAGTTGGGGGACTCACAATACTTAGATTGAGCATTTTTCCCAAATCGAGTGCCTACTTAGGACCTTAAACCAAAGTATACCTTGGGGACGAGATTTTATTCAGGGTAAAACCCACTTGAATTATTTATACGTGGACAGTGTTAACCACTCAGTCTTGTCCGACTCTGTGACCCCATGGACTGTAACCTGCCAGGCTCCTCTGTCCATGGGGATTCCATAGGCAAGAATACTGGAGTGGGTTGGCCGTTTCCTCCTCAGGTGATCTTCCCAACCCAGGGATCGGACCTGCATCTCTTATGTCTCCTGCCTTGCAGGCAGATTCTTTATCATCTGAACTAATCAGGGAAGCCCGTATGTGGGTAAGGCATGAGCAAGTGCACACTCAACATACTCCTAGTACATTGCAAAGTGGCTTAGGATGTTTCTTCGTTCTTAGTGTCTTTCCCCATGAGGACTGTTTTCAGTGTCCTCAGATTCCTTTGAGGATCCGATGGGAGCATCATCAAAGGGCCAGTAATCCGCAAAGTGCTTTACTTGTATCAAGCCATGCAGTCCTCCAACAACCTTATAAAGGAGGTTCTGTGTGCTGTGTTTAGTTGCTCAGTTGTGTCTGACTCTTTGGGACCCTATGGACTGTAGCCTGCCAGGCTCCTCTGTCCATGGGATTCTCCAGACAAGAATACTAGAGTGGGTGGCCATGCCCTCCTCGAGGGGATCTTCCCAACCCAGGGATCGAACCCAGGTCTCCCACACTGTAGGCAGATTCTTGACCATCTGAGCCACCAGGGAAGCCCAAGAATACTGGAGTGGGTAGATTATCCCTTCTCCAGGGGGTCTTCCTGACTTAGGAATCGAACCGGGGTCTCCTGCATTACAGGCAGATTCTTTACCAGCTGAGCCTCAAGGAAGCCCAAAGCAGGTGCTATTCATATCCCTATTTCTTACAAGAAGAAAATGAGGCTCAGAACATTTATGTGACTGACCCATGCCATGGCTGGTCAGTGGTAGGGCAGGGATTTTTAATCCAGAAGGTCTTGCTCTAGAACTGAACTCTTAATTGCTGGTCTGAAATGATTCATTCAGAAAAATGCACCTTTGCTCTGACGCACCCATTAGCATGAAGTTCCATGGGTACATAGATGCCTGCGGCTGTGCATGGACTCGGGGAAGAGCCACTCTCCCTGGAGGAGTCGATGTGGGGTGTGATACTGCCCCTGCTGCAGCCGCGGCCCTCCTCACGCCCCAAGCGTAGATAATCTGGCAGTCCCTGCCCTCCTAGCTGTCCTGTGCCAACAGAGAGTAGCCGTCCCTCTCCATGTCGTTGCCAAGGAGGCTGCTCAGAGCCGCGGCTGCAAACACGTGGGCACTAGGAAAGGTCCGTGCGGAACCCTGTCTGCTGGGGCAAGTCTTCCAGAACAGTGAACCCTGGGCCCACTCACTGCTACTGTCTTCTGTTCTCCTATGTAGATCCTGGAAAACACTCCCGAGAACCACCCGGACCACAGCCACCTGAAGCACGCCCTGGAGAAGGCGGAGGAGCTGTGCTCCCAGGTGAATGAAGGGGTGCGGGAGAAGGAGAACTCGGACCGACTGGAGTGGATCCAGGCCCACGTGCAGTGTGAAGGCCTGTCGGAGGTAACGCCTTAGGTGGGACCTGGGCCGCCTCTCTGAGTCTCAGCAGCCAGCCAGAAGGAGGACAAGAGAAATCATGAGTCGTCCTCTTCTGCGACCTCCAGTTTGCTAGTCTCCCTCCAGCTGCATCTAATCTGTTGTTTAAACCATCTACCGAGTTTTTAATTTCAATTACTTTTTTTGTTTTTTATTCTCAGTTATTTTCGTTTACCTTTCCAGCAGTATTAGCTATTTCTCTAACCTACTGGTTTTTCTTGTCTTGTTCCTTTCACAAGTGGCCATTTTTAAACTTGTGTGATAGCTGCATTGTGGTTACAAATTCTCAGTAATCACTACCAACCTTGTGGTTGGTTCATTACACCAAGTTCAAAAACAAGCAAATTTTCTTGCTATTCCCATCTGTACTGAGTTTACTTGTCATTCTTCCTCTGTGACCCAGCTCTCTGGGATCTCCTGTTACGTCCTTCACCTCATGCAGACACTAGATATATCTCCTTTCTCCTTCTCCCCTCAATAGCCTTTAAAATGGAAGCTCAGGGTCACCAGATTTAGGAAAGACTCTCGAAGCTAAAGCCAGCTTTGGTGCTTGTTTATCTTCCAGGGTTCACATTTCCATGCCATTTTCTGCTTCTGCAAATTATTTTTGCTTTTATTTTTATTTTTACCAGCTTGCTTGTGTTTAAAAAGTACAGTTCTATGTTTTTTTATTCCATTTTAACATCTTTCGTTGGTTGAGTCAGAGTCTTTAGTCCACGATACTGCCAGAAGTACTCTCTTATGGTATTTGATTCTCTTCTTGACCCTAATCTTTCCTTTAGTCTCACCCACTCTGCTGTTCTCTCTTTTTGTCTCTGTATACCCACACACCCCCCCCCACACACACATTCATGTACTTACACAATTCACTAGGATTTACCAAAATGCCCAGGCAGACCGTCCCCCTCACCCACACTCCCTGTGACTCTTTTCTTCTTACGAGCATCAAAGACATTCCCGACCTGAGGAGGTTACCCCACTGTTGCCTCCCTGCCCTGCCTCCTGTCCCCCTTCAGCGTAGGTGTGGGATAAGCAAAGTTATGGAAGCAGCCGTGTGGAAACCAAGGTGATGGATGTGGGTTCCCATTTTGGAACTGTGTTGATATGCAGTCCAGGGGTAGTCACTGGTTGGCTGGCTCAGTTACTCACTCATTTATTCAATAAGCATTTACTGAGTGTCTGGCCCATGTGCTTTGCTCAGTCCTAACCATTGAGGACATGAAAATCAGTGAGATGTGACCTACCCCATCTCAAGAAGCCTACAGTCCTGGATTACTTAGAGGTCCAATATTTACAAGGCTATGTGAGAAATGATGAGCCAGATCCAGGTGCCAAGTGCTGTTGGACACTCGACGAGGAGGAAGGAACAGTCATGGAGGATTCAGGGACAGGTTGGAGAAGGTGACACTTGGCTGCATGTTCAAGGATGAAGATATCTCCCCAGGAAAGAATCCAGGGGAGGGCATTTCAGTGGAGGCCTCAGCCTGAGCGGGGCGTGGGTGAGGAATATAAGGGCACAGGTGACAAGCTTTAAGGCAAGTTGAAGGCAGGGCAGGGAAGGACTGTGTGTCATCCCCAGGAGCACTAAGTTGATCCTGAAGACGGTGGACTTGAATTGCTCCTGGATCTTCTGAGCTGAAGGGCCACTGTGCACTTTTTCTTTTTTAAAAAATGTTCTCTTATCTTTTTCTTTCTTTTTCTTTTTTAAAAAATGTTCTCTTATCTTTTTCTTTCTCTCTGTTTCTTTCTTTTTTTTTTGGGGGGGGGGTGCACCATGCAGAATGTAGGATCTTAGTTCCCCAACCAGGGAGCCAACTCCGCCCCAGCAATGAAAGTGCAAAGTCCTAACCCTGGACTGCTAGGGAATTCCCCTCACTGTGTACTTTTAAAGGGGCCCTTCCCCGAGTCTCGTGGCTGCAGTCACCGGACTCAGTGAGGCCTGAGTCTTCATCATAAAACATTAAGAATAGGAGCTTCCCTGGAAGGCCAGTGGTTAGGACTCCATAATTCCACTGCAGGGGGCACTGGTTTAGGGGGCTAACATTCTTACATGCCTTGAGGCACAGCCAACACCCCCACAAAACCTTAAGAATAAAGTAAACTCTTGTCATTTGCTCTCTGCGGTGTATATACCCTCTTTGAAATAGACTGCTGTCCTTCTTAAGTGACCAGTCCTTCCTGACTATTGCACACCAGCTTTCTGTAGGGTCTGTTTTGCCTGTATGGTCAGGGTTCATGGTCATGGGAACGAGGTATGTTGGCTTCCATTTCCTGGCCCAGATCTAAGCATACACCAGTGATTAAGTTTCACATAAATGCTGTCTTTGGCATTCTTGTCTTAAGATCAAGAACTATAAAGACGGTTTCCAATTCACAAATGTTCAGTGTCAGCCTGAATAACTGGAGGCTGTGACCTTTGAGTAAGAATAAACCACACCACCTCTTTGTCATCCAAGTGACTCACTGGGTTCATTGCCCCAAGTGGCTTGAACTCCCTCTGGGCAAATAAAAAGGACTAGACTGACCTCCAGGCTCTTGTTCAGAGGAACGCCCTTGGAAGGCTCCCTTTGCGGTGTCATCTTCAGTTGTTCGGGCTCCCTCAGAGCCTGGGTGGGAGGCTGCTGGCACTCAGCCCTCCTGGTACCTGAGAGTGGGCTGGAGTGGCCGCTCTCCTTTGAGGCCTACAGGTCTCTGGTCATAGAGGTGCTGTTGATTATTTCTTCCACACTAGAGGCAGACAGGTAGCCAGCAACATCTCTTGGGGGATGTGTGTTGTGAACTCCTCCTTAATACTCTCTTCAGGAGATGTGTAATGTATAGGGATCATAACTGTGGAGAGCCGCAGCCTTGGGGCCCAGGTGTGAGCAGGTGGAAGCCCTGAAGGTCTGACTCCTGCCTCGACCATACTGCTTCTGAGGCACAGCTGTGGCCTTCCCCTCCATCAGTCTCTCCTCTGCTAGCCAAAAGGGGGGCCTTAGTGAGGTCATATCTCCTACAGCCTCCCTCTGCCCCTTTAGAACCTGCTCACAGGAAATGATAGAACCTGGAGGGATGATAGAACCTGGGGGGATGATAGAACCTGGGGGGACGATAGAACCTGGAGGGATGATAGAGCTTGAGATGATAGAACCTGGGGGGATGATAGAGCTTGAGATGATAGAACCTGGAGGGATGATAGAGCTTGAGATGATAGAAGCTGGGGGGATGATAGAGCTTGAGATGATAGAACCTGGGGGATGATAGAACATGAGATGTAAAGCCCAGGGGGGATGACAGAGCATGAGATGATAGAACCAGGTGTGTGTGTGTGTGTGTGTGTGCGCACGTGTGTGTGCATGTGTGTGTGTGCGTGTGTGTGTGTGTGAAAGAAGATGAGATGATAGAGCCCAGAGGGGATGGTAGAGAATGAGATGATAGCGACCAGGGTGTGACAGAGCATGAGATAATAGAGCCCAGGGGTGAACAATAGAGCTGCATCTCAGCACTTAGAGCTGTCTCCAAGGTTTGGGAAGTGGCAAGAAGAGAGCCGCCCCTTCGCGTCTTTAGGAGCAGTGGGCTGGGCGAGATCTAATGTGTACCAGCACAGTTTCTGTTCTGCTTGGCTCTGAGGCATCCGTCAGCACCACCGGGTTTGGCAGTCCCCCCATGAGGTAGGGGCCGGGACTCTCACTGTGCCCTGGAAAGCGGCATTTGTCCTGTGGAACCGCACAGAGGCACCGCTGTTCCCAGCAGCAGGCATGCCGCTGTTTCAGCCTGGGCAGCGCTGTCGTTGGGGCCTGTTCGTGCTGCCTCCAGCGGACCAGCCTGCACACAGCACGCACTCATCAAGGACGGAGGGTTTGCTTCCTGCTGCCCTGTTTCCCTGATAAATAAAAGGGAGAAAAGTCATCCTGAGACACTAGACCTCAAGGAAGGGCATTAGGAATCACACCCAGGGTTCATCCTGACACATGCAGTCTCCCGAACCACACCTTTAACTTCGTGGCTCCCAAAGCCCCTGCCTGAAGTCTTCAAAGCTGTCCTCTATCTGAGCCTAAGAAACAGGCCTCAGATTCTGATGGAGACCACAGCTTTCAGATGCGGAAAAACAAACGAACAGAAAAACAACCGCAACAAGAAAACGACCTCACTCCATTGTGTCTTCTTTGGGTTTTTTCCCTTCCTCAGCAACTTGTGTTCAATTCCGTGACCAACTGCTTGGGGCCACGCAAGTTTCTGCACAGCGGGAAGCTCTACAAGGCCAAGAGCAACAAGGAGCTATATGGCTTCCTCTTCAACGACTTCCTGCTGCTGACCCAAACCATCAAGCCCCTGGGCTCCTCTGGCACTGACAAAGTCTTCAGCCCCAAGTCAAACCTGCAGTATAAAATGTACAAAACAGTAAGTCCGACTCTAGACTGCAACATCAGGGTCAATATTGGGGGGAGGAGGACGTGTCTAAAGGGAGTCAGCGTTTGAGCAGGGTTTGGGGTCTGTGGCACAGAGGAGAGCCAGGATTTACAGGGACCACAAGCATGGGTCCAGCAGTATCAGCAAAGTTGCGTGCATGATGAGTTGGTCAGTTGTATTTGACTCTGAGATCTAATGAACTGTAGCCCGCCAGGCTCCTCTGTCCGTGGGATTTCCCAGAGAAGAATACTGGAGTGGGTTGCCATTTCCTTCTCCAGGGGATCTTCTGGACCCAGGGATGGAACCTGTGTCTCCTGCTTGGCAGGTGGATTCTTTACCACTGAGCCACCATGGAAACCCATCAGAAAAAGGACAATACTGAGTTCAATTGACAAACGTTTATTAGCTGCCAAGTGGCTGCTGTGGGTTCCCTTGGACGTGACTAAGGCATGTCCTGTCTTGAGGGGTTCACAGTCCAGTATACTGATGAGGCAGACTTGGGAAAGCTCTAGACTAGAACTTCAGCGTCCACTTGCCAAACATTCCCTGATCCCCCTCCAAACTTCTCAAGATGGCTTGGAACCTATGTGCCCTCATCTTTTCCAACAAACGCCAATATAAATCGCCTGTGTGTAGACAGTGCTCGTGAGCTGTGTGTCTGGTCTGCTTCTGTGTGTGCGGCCGTGTTTGTGTCTTTTCATGTCATAGGGTATTGTTTTTCTAAATTTATCTCTGTGGGGTGTTTTCACAGAAGAATTTTCTCTGAAGCAGCAGTTAGCCTTCTTTTGGGAAAAAGAACAATGTACTTACGTAAATTGTCACTAGCAGCTTTGTATGAACAACGTGGAGGGAGTTGCTTGGAGGTAGAGTTGATGGGGACTTCCCTGGTGGCTCAGATGGTAAAGAATCTGCCTGCAATGCAGGGGACGTGGATTCGATTCCTGGTTCAGGAAGATCCCCTGGAGAAGGGAATGGCTACCCACTCCCATATTCTTGCCTGGAGAATTCGATGGACAGAGGAGCCTGGCAGGCTATGGGACTGACAGAGGATGAGATGGTTGGATGGCATCACTGACTCGATGGACATGAGTTTGAGTAAGCTCTGGGAGTTGGTGATGGACAGGGAAGCCTGGCGTGTTGCCGTCCATGGGGTCGTAAAGAGTCAGACAGGACTGAGCGACTAACACTTTCTAAATACATAATACATCTAGAGTTGATGGAGACTGTTTGCTGACTAGGATATACTATGGAAAAAGCAAATACATCAGTTCTTATTCTGGAGGACTTTAGAAATACCTGCAATACCATCCGGTCTACTGATCACTCTAGTACTTCTCCAAGTCATTTGAAAACTTATCTTTGCAGAAAACCCTGTATGCCAATGTTTGTAGCAGAGCACAAACATTGCTAAGTGTGGTCTGCTGCCCATAGTGACTTCCTCCTAAAGACTTCAGTATGAAAAGTGGGGAAGTAAAAATAAAAATTCACAAGTAGAAACCTGGGAAATAATACCTTAGCCAGATGATGAGGAAAAAAAAGTACCTGCAAAATGGAGGTGGGGGGAATCTATATTTACAATTTCCATTTATCTGAAAATTGATATTAACACTTATTCAATTCAGTTCAGTCGCTCAGTCATGTCCGACTCTTTGTGACCCAATGGACTGCAGCACGCCAGGCCTCCCTGTCCATCACCAACTCCCAGAGTTCACCCAAACTCATCTCCATTGAGTTGGTGATGCCATCCAACATCTCATCCTCTGTCATCCTCTTCTTCTCCCGCCCTCAATCTTTCCCAGCATCAGGGTCTTTTCCAATGAGTCCCTTATCATTCCAAACTAAATCATTATTTCAATATGGTTTACTGAAACCACCGCCACCCCCCAGACACAAACAGACACATCCCTCACCTTTGGTTTAGTTTACTGGATCATGTGCATCTCAGCACACACACGTCCTCACAGACCCCCAGTCTGGTCTTGTAATGCCCATGCATTATTTTTCAGCCTATTTTCCTAAATGAGGTTCTAGTGAAGTTGCCCACTGACCCTTCTGGGGATGAACCCATCTTCCACATTTCCCATATCGACCGGGTCTACACCCTCCGAGCAGAGAGCATAAACGAAAGGTAAGACCCGCCTCCTCCCTGGCCCTGGGCACTGGGGTTCCACCAGGTGTAGGGCGGATGTGGGACAGTTAATTAATCAGTGGGTGTCAACATCCCCTCTGGCTGGAGGTGGGGGTGGGGCATCGGGTGAAGTGGTCTTAGTTCATTTTTCCAGCATCTTTCAAAAGTTCACTTTTCAAAAGGAAATACATTGAAATGAATCTGGCTTGAGAATTTTTTGAACAGCAATTTTCAGTATTTTTTGAGATAATGGAGGCTCTCCCGTTTCCCAAATTTTCTCAGGTGGCAGAAACTAATAGGAAAACGATTCGGGAGTTAGAGGACCTCTCAATCCTGACCCCCTCATTGTCTGGCTCCCTTGGACAGACATCCTGGATCCTAGAAGCTGTGGGCATGTCTGCCTTAATCAAGGCTCTGCTCTGGAACCGATTGAAACAGATTATTTTTCTGAAGGGTGAACTTGACACAAGACCAACAACATTCCAAGAGCATTTGTGCCAAGCAAGAAATTGGCTAAAGTTATCATGCATATGGTTCTCAGAGAAATGGAAAAGAAAAAAATCACGCCAGGATACTTTCTTTCCCAGTGTGTTTGCTCCTTCACAGAAAGTGGCTGCTTATCTGGGAAATTGTTTCTTTCTTTGGATGGTTTAGTGAAAGAGATCCTTTTAGCCTTCTTGGATTAGGCAAATTTGTGATGTTTTTCAGTAAGGAAAGAAGAGGAGCTGTTGTGAGCAAGACAGCAACAACGTTTATCATTGTAGATTTCCTTCCATGGGGACACAAACCCAGGTTTGTAGCAAATCAATAAAAACATCACTCGTGCCTTTGTTATGAATGGTAGAAATCATCCTTAGGGCCATGTGATGTAAAGTAGATTCTCTATGCTGACCCTTTGTTGTAAAAATCAAACGAACAAAGCAGAGTCCTGGAAACTGAATTGGTACCGACCTGACACCTGAGTTTTGTCTGGCAGCGTTCTGTCTGTTTTTTTCCAAGGACTGCCTGGGTGCAGAAGATCAAAGCAGCTTCTGAACTCTACATAGAGACGGAGAAGAAGAAGCGGGAGAAGGCATACCTGGGTAAGGCATCGCTGGGCAGCGGGGCCCTGGGAATCCGCAGAGTTGGGGAGTAGAGAGCCATCCGGTTGGGCCCAGAACCCTTAGAGCTGGAAGGTGGACCTGGGGGTAGAGGAGAGCCTGGGGGTGCAGGCAGGTGGAAGAGGGAGGGCAGGGTATGGGTGAGGGGTGGAGGGCGGGTTCCAGGATGGAGGAAGCAAGAGTTTTAAGCGAGGAAGGGGAGACTGTTCTTGAAGAGGGGCATAAAAGAAATCAGTAGGCAAACTGGAAATACATTGAACACTAAACAGGAGCATTTTGTTTTTCCTCCCATCACAGTCCGCTCCCAAAGAGCCACAGGCATCGGAAGGTTGATGGTGAACGTGGTTGAAGGCATTGAGCTGAAACCCTGTCGGTCACATGGTAAGGGCCCTGGAAACCCCCTCTAGCGTGTATGAGTGGCGGAAGCCTTTCTGCATCCCTTCCACTTGGCTTTACTTTATTTTCTAAAATTAATTTTTACTGGAGGATAGTTGCTTTAGGGGCTTCCCAGGTGTCCACCAGCTAATGCAGGAGACACAGGAATTCGGGCTTGATCTCTGGGTTGGGAAGATCCCCTGGAGAAGGAAACGGTAACCCAATATTTTTGCCTGGGAAGCGCATGGACAGAGGAGCCTGGAGGGCCACAGTCCATGGGGTTGAAAAGAGCTGGACGTGACTGAGTGACATGACCGCTTTACAATGCTATGTTCGTTTCTCCTGTACCGGAGAGTGAGCCAGTTATATGAATCCATTTATCCCCCTTCTTTGGATTTGCTCCCCATTTAGGTTACTACAGAGTGTTCAGTCCACCTGGCTTTAAAACAAATTGGCCCCTAATCCTAAATTTCCTTCCAGACTTGGTTATTCCCATCCACCATGTTGCCTTCTAGAGAGATCTGAGTGGCTGCCTTTTCACAACACTGCCAGCCCCTCTGTATCTGTAGATTCCACACCTGCAGATTCAACTAACTGCAGAACGAAAATAGTCAGAAACATTTTTGAAATTTCAAAACAGCAAAACTTGAATTTGCCACACACCAGCAACTATTCACATTGTAATTTCATTGTATTTCCATTTTTCGAATGTTTTCGCTCTGCACTTGGTTGAATCTGCAGGTGTGAAATCTATAGATAGAGGGGCTGACTGTGTTGTCAGAGGGCAGCCACTCAGATCTCTCTGGAAGGCAAAACGGTGGATGGGAATAACCCAGTGTGGAAGGAAATTTAGGATTATAGGCCAATTTATTTTAAAGCCAGGTGGACTGAACGCTCTGTGGTAAGCTAAGTGGGAAGGAAATGCACAGAGGGGATAAATGTGTGCACATGACTGATCCACTCTGCCGTGCAGGAGAGGCCAACAGCATTGTGAGCATTATCGGGGTGCTCAGTCGCTCAGCCACGTCCGGCTCTTTTCAACCCCAAGGACTGTGGTCCTCCAGGCTCCTCTGTCCATGGGCTTCCCAGATGGTGCTAGTGGTAAAGAACCTGCCTGCCAGTGCAGGAGACAGAAGAGACATGGGTTCACTTCCTGGGCCAGGAAGATCTCCTGGAGATTAAGCCTGGCAGTCCACTCCAATATTCTTCCCTGGAGAACCCCATGGACAGAGGAACCTGGTGGGTTACAGTCCATAGAGTCGGACAAGACTGAGCAACTTAGCACAGCCCTACATTGTATTAGGGATTATATATAACCTGGAGATGATTTGAAGTAGATGGAGGATATGGCCAGGTTTATGCTAGACCATTTTATATAAGGGACTTGAGCCTCTGAGGATTTGTGTATCTGTGGGGTTGGGGACCCAATCCCTGTAGATACTGAGGGGTGATTGCAGATTTGACACAATCTAAGTTAAAGTGAGGAGACAGGGAAGATTTAATTTTGAAGCCCACTCATGTGATAAAGTGTGATAAATATTTAAGTGTTAATATTATAGTTTAAGTAGGATCCTGGATTATGTGAGTTTTCCTCTGGATATCTTATGCTGCGTGTTAAGCATGGGACTGGAGTGGGGTCGGAATGAGGGGAGTAGAGGGAAGATGTGCCTCAGGGCTGTGACCCTGCCAGAGATGCCCAGAAGAGCCGGGCTCTGTCCCCTCCAGGAAAGAGTAACCCGTACTGTGAGGTGACCATGGGCTCCCAGTGCCACATCACCAAGACCATCCAGGACACTCTGAACCCCAAGTGGAACTCCAACTGCCAGTTCTTCATCAGAGACCTGGAGCAGGAGGTGCTGTGTATTACCGTGTTTGAGAGGGACCAGTTCTCGCCAGATGGTGAGTAGACAGCGGCCCTGGGCACCCTGCCCCTTTCCCTGCCCCTTGGCTTTCATGGATAGGCATTTTCTACCTGGGAACTTGGTGTGCAGAATTTCCTGGGCTTCCTGCCAGAGAGATGAGGTTGGTGTCTCCTTTGAAGAGGCCTTCGCTGATGCCGGAGCATCTCAGAGGAGGTGGACAAAGTGTGCTTGATCTAGAGTGGCCCAGCTTCCCTAGGACAAAGATCATGTCCCATGCTTCCTTAAAGCAGGTAACTGCAGAGAGGGCTGTACCCCCAAAGCCTCAGCCTAATTCTTTAGTCCTTGGCTAAAAGCTTTGGTGAAAATGGATAAAACTAGCCGGTTTAGCAAGAAGAGTATTAGTTCACAAACAATGTGGCAGAATCAATCAATGACCGTCAGGTGACATTTCAGCTTAATCAAAGGAATGAAGTTATGTTGGGTGCATCATTCCTTCAATCAACTTCCTGTTTCTGCCTGAAGCTGGAAGAAAAATGGGTCTGGCCAATGATTCCAAGACACTTGTCTCTATCTTCCTCAATCCAATAAAAATAAGAGAGCTTTTTAAAATTTAAATTTGAAGATTATGGCCTCAACTTGATTATATTCAAAGGAGGATGCTGAGGGCTAGGAGTGAGGGGCCAGTGCAGACGTGATCTGTGCGAGGCCTAAACTGCTCCACGTGGCGTTTGTCTTTTATAGCACTTTCATATGAATTATTCCACTGTGAGTTAGCTACTATTAATTATGGCCCAGAGGTGGTCACATAGCTGGCTAAATGTTCGAGCATGACCAGAACACTCTACCAAGGGAAGATTTCATGCAAAGATGGGCACAATAAAGGACAGAAATGGCATGGACCTAACAGAAGCAGAAGATATTAAGAAGAGGTGGCAAGAATACACAGATGAATTGTACAAAAAAGATCTTCATGACCCAGATAACCACGATGGTGTGATCACTCACCCAGAGCCAGACATCCTGGAATGTGAAGCCAAGTGGGCCTTAAGAAGCATCACTACAAACAAAGCTAGTGGAGGAGATGAAATTCCAGTTGAGCTATTTCAAATCCTGAAAGATGATGCTGTGAAAGTGCTGCACTCAATATGCCAGCAAATTTGAAAAATTCAGCAATGGCCATGGGACTGGAAAAGGTCAGTTTTCATTCCAATCCCAAAGAAAGGCAATGCCAAAGAATGTTCAAACTACTGCACAATTGCACTGATCTCACACGCTAGTAAAGTAATGCTCAAAATTCTCCAAGCCAGGCTTCAACAATACATGAACCATAAACTTCCAGATGTTCAAACTGGATTTAGAAAAAGCAGAGGAACCAGAGATCAAATTGCCAACATCCATTGGATCATCAAAAAAGCAAGAGAGTTCCAGAAAAACATCCATTTCTGCTTTATTGACTACGCCAAAGCCTTTGACTGTGTTGTTCACAACAAACTGTAGGAAATTCTTCAAGAGATGGGAATACCAGACCACCTGACCTGCCTCCTGAGAAATCTGTATGCAAGTCAGGAAGCAACAGTTAGAACTGGACATAGAACAATAGACTGGTTCCAAATAGGAAAAGGGGTACGTCAAGGCTATATATTGTCACCCTGCTTATTTAACTTATATGCAGAGTACATCATGCAAAATGCTGGGCTGGATGAAGCACAAGCTGGAATCAAGATTACCAGGAGAAATGTCAATAACCTCAGATATGCAGATGACACGACCCTTAGGGCAGAAAGCGAAGAAGAACTAAAGAGTCTCTTGATGAAAGTGAAAGAGAAAAAAAAAAGAAAGTGAAAGAGGAGAGTGAAAAGTTGCCTTAAAACTCAACATTCAGAAAACTAAGATCATGGCATCTGGTCCCATCACTTCATGGCAAATAGATGTGGAAACAATGGAAACAGTGGCAGACTTAATTTTTTGGGCTCCAAAATCACTGCAGATGGTGATTGCAGCCATGAAATTAAAAGACGCTTACTCCTTTGAAGGAAAGTTATGACCAATCTAGATAGCATATTAAAAAGCAGAGACATTACTTTGCTCACAAATATCTGTGTAGTCGAAGCTATGGTTTTTCCAGTAGTCATGTATGGATGAGAGAGTAGGACTATAAAGAATGCTGTGTGCCAAAGAATTGATGCTTTTGGACTGTGGTTTGGAGAAGAACCTTGAGAGTCCCTTGGACTGCAAGGAGATCCAACCAGTCCATCCTAAAGGAAATCAGTCCTGAATATTCATTGGAAGGACTGATGTTGAAGCTGAATCTCCAATACTCTGGCCACCTGATGCGAAGAACTTGGAAAAGACCCTGATGCTGGGAAAGATTGAAGGCAAGAGAAGGGGAAGACAGAGGATGAGATGGTTAGATGGTTAGATGGCATCACCGACTCAATGGACATGGGTTTGGGTAAACTCTGGGAGTTGGTGATGGACAGGGAGGCCCGGTGTGCTGTGGTCCACAGGGTCGCAAAGTGTCGGACGTGACGGAGCAACTGAACTGAGCTGACTGAGAACAGTGTGACTCAAGCCTGGAGTCTGAACCACTGTGCTTCACTGGCCATTTTTATTCTGATAAATAAAGACTTGAGGTTGGATTTTTTAATTGAATAGTGAAATATCATGACACAATGGCAGCACCACTAGAGATTCAGTTTCAAATCCTAGGGTAGCTCTTATTTCAGAGATTATTCCTGAAATGCACACGGGGCAACATGCACTGGTATCGTCCACCAGAAAAAATTCCCAGGTTTTAAACCTTGGAAGAAAAGCTATTTCCTGTAGAAGAGTGCCTGGATCATAGTATATTGCCAATTGCTGAATTGCTGAATGAAAAAAAGGAAGGAATTAATGGTCTGGAAGCCCATTTGGTACCATCATTTTAATGCATAGCATTAAAAAATTTCAAACATTCTCATGTCTATTACTGATTCTCTCTGTCTCTGTCTCTGTCTCTCCCTCTCTCTCTCTCTCTCTCTATATATATATATATATATATATATAATTTTTTTGGCCCTGCCATGCAGCAGAGCCAGCAAAAGATCAACCTCTGCCTTCTACGGTGGAAGCGCTGCACCCTAACCACAGGACCACCGGGAAGTCCCTGACACTCAATATTTGACGAAAAGTGGTGTTGAAGGACTTCCCTGGAGGTCCAGTGGTTAAGACTCTGGGCTTCAAATGCAGGGGATGTGGATTTGATCCCTGGTCGGGGAACACAGATCCCACATGCTGCATGGTGTAGCCAAAAAAAAAAGGTGGTATTGAGATTGTCCTGGGAGCCTGCAGCGCCTGTGCCGTCACCTCCTCCCACCAAAGAAATAAGTGGAGAGAGAAAGAAAAGAAACAGCTGACTTTCTTCTGGGAGATTTCTTTAAATTTCACATACATTGCAAATTGCACAGCAGATATGATATCCAGTTTTGCATTGTCTCCCAGGGAGCTCCCGGCCCTTTAGGGGCCCCCTGGGTACAAGGGAAAAATCTGTATTTTGAGTTTCTTCTAGACTCTTCTTCATCCCCAGCCCAGTACCTTTTTGTTTTCACTCCATTTAAAAATGATGCTGTCACTGTAGTCCCTGGATTCCAAGAAACTAACTCCCTCGTTGGGACACTCCCAATATGCCAGGTACCTGCCCTGACGAGAAGGAATCCTCTCTGAGGAAGGTCTGTGTGTCTGTCCTTTCAGATTTTTTGGGTCGGACGGAGATCCGCGTGGCCGACATCAAGAAGGACCAGGGCTCCAAGGGTCCAGTTACGAAGTGTCTCCTGCTGCACGAAGTCCCCACGGGAGAGATCGTGGTCCGCCTGGACCTGCAGTTGTTCGATGAACCGTAGGGAGCCCTCCAGGGCACGCTTGGCAGAGCTCAGCCCGAGGCAGCGGATGCTGCCTGCCTGGAAACAGCATGGCTTTTCGAGGACCGGCGTTTGGTGTTCAGCCACAGGGCAACAGGGCAGAGAAGATAGGCCCCTCCAAGCTTCTTGGACTGCTTCTTGACAATCCTTCCCCTAAATCACTTCCCATGTTAGGAAACAGGACTCTGTTTTCCTTTGTCCTCACTGTGGGGCTCATCGTGGCTTCTAGGGTCTTTGAAGTCCCCCAGCTACCTTTGGTGGGGTGTCCGTCCCACCCCTGGGCCTGAGGCTTGAGTCTGATTACTGTAAAATAGGTTCATAAATGGAACGTCTCTATTTTTGGAGAACTCATGGGACCCTCCTATTTCTTTCCTCCACCAGCCTCCAAGCAGGCCCTCCAGGATGCCTAGCCCTTGGTATGTTTAGAAATGATCACGCTGATCATGTCATTGCTTCAGAATCTCATTTCCCCACTGGGACCTCATTGGAAATGCTGCCCTGGGTCTGATCACTTGGGGAGATGGTCTTCCGATCAGATGCTGGTCTAATCCGTGGAAGATCAGATGCTGGTCTAATCCATGGAAGATTCCAGCAGGCATGTTGTTAGGGTTTTTCCAGTCTCCTCCAGGTCTTTTTCCTGGTAGCTGTCAATGAAAACTATTCTGGTTTCCAGCACCCCTGGAAGATGGTTAAGGGAGGTTGTCTAAATAGCTATACTCTGCAGGACTAGGTCACTGTAGCTTCCCTGAAAGGCTACTTGATGATGTTATTGGGTCCCCATCTCCAGCCCTGCTGGACATTTCCCTTTCCGCTTGGAGGTCCTGTGTTTCAGGACAAGAGTGGTTGCTGGTGACCAACTCTGAGCCTCTTCCTGCCTGCTTGTTATGGGCAAGTTCCGCACGTGTCTTTGGTACATTCTTCCCAAAGGTGTCCCCAAGGTGTGCAAAGGAAAACTGACAGTCTGTGGGGGAAATCTATTACTGTGGTGGGGGAGAGACGCTAGGAGCAGGCAAGCCCCTCGGTTCCAGGGAAGCAGACCCGAGACTCCTTCCCAAAGCCCGCCATACAAGCCAACCTCTCAGTAACGGAAGGACACACGGCGTGTTGCCAGAATCAGGAGCGTATGACCACGTGCCAAATTCGGTTTGAGTTCTTTTTTATTTTTTAAACTGTTAGTGAAGTATAGTTGGTTTGCACTGCGGTGTCAGTTTCTGCGGTATAGCAAAGTCAATCGTCCGTGCATATTCATACGTCCCCTCTTCTCTGGATTTCCTTCTCACTTAGGTCACCGCGGAGCTCTGAATGGCGTTCCTTGTGGTGTACAGTAGGTTCTTATTAGGCACCCATGTTATCCATGGTGGTTATATGTCAATCCCAGTCTCCCAGTCCCCGCCCCCCCCGCCTCCTTCTCCCTGGGTATCCACCCATCTGTTCTCTATGTCTTTATCACATCAGATCATCGATACCACTTTTCTAGATGCCACATATATATGTTAATATATGATACCTGTTTTTCTCTCTCTGACTTACTTCACAGCATCTGACAGTCTCTGGGTTCATCCACATCTCTGCAAACGGCCACAGTTCCATTCCTTTTTGTGGCTGAGTAATACCAGTTTGAGTTCTTTGAGTTTTTCTCCTTAAATGCCAGGAGATAGGCTGGTTGACTAGATAAGAACTTGATTTGCTCATGACAAGCGTGGATCATACTTTGTTTGCATGTTAATGCTCCCATAATCCAAGTTTGTCGTTTTACCATGAAATGTTCATTGCATGTTCTCTCAGTCCTGGAGTCTAGCTTTCCTGGGTGAGACGGTGTTCTCCTCGATTGCAGGTCCTTAGAATTTAATTAGGATTGTAGAATGAGTTCTAAAGACAGCATTGGCACTTCCCTGGTGGTTCCAGTGGTTAGGACTGTGCTTCCACTGCTGGGGCTGCAGGTTCCAGCCCTGGTTGGGAAACTAAGATCCTGCATACCATGTGGTATGACCAAAAAAGAGGGGAAAAAAAAAATAGTTAACTACCCACTTTGCTAGGAACCGAATATGTCATGTCATCCTTCAAGCAATTTTTAAAATGTGTGTCTTGGAAAGGGCAACAAAGTTTACATTTCATACTTCTAAGAAACACTTTATTATTTATTTATTAAAGATAGTGTAGACTTTTGTATCAAGAACAACAGACATAAGTATTTTTTGAAATAAGCAGATCTACCCTTTAGTTAGTAACTCTCAGCTGAAGACCTTAGAGACCAAGTTTAACTTCAAGCATGCATTCGTTTACCACTTTCCAGCAGCAAGCATGGTTCGGATACTTTAAGTTCATATGTATGTTTCGATGCTGTTAGGAAATTGTTTTAAATGAAATCTATGAATAGACCTACCAGTCACACTTTCCTATGTCTATACCCAATACAGTTTGTTCAGTGTCTTTATGAAGGACATGTGATTATGGTAGAAAAAGAAGGGTTACCTGTGTGTACGGAGTCATATTGGGTCACCAATGCAATCCCTTTGTTTCTCCCTTTTCTTCATTGGCTTTCTTTGCGTGAATGTTGGGCATCACCGTTCATGTAGGGTGGATGTGATGTGCTCAATGACAAACATCTTGTCACCTTTTTTGGTCCACCAGCTCACCCACCCATGCAGAGTCCCATTATCGGAATTAATGTCGCATGAAGAAGCAATATGTGAGTCTTTTCTCCCAGGTGACTGTACTGAGCACCCTTGCGATGCTCCTCCAGGGCAGCGATTCTGGATGAGTGCCCTTGTACTCACCAGGATGATTTGTAAGGTGACTGATCCTCCTTACAGACGAGATAGGCTGGCTGTCAGATCCAGCTGTAACTCAGGAACGTAGATGATGCATGGTCTCCAATTCTTTGAGACTAGTCCTTCGTGTCTAACTTTTTGGGCGGCCAGGGCTGTATTTCATAGAGATGAAACGTCCCTTGCCAATAACCTTCTGTGTCCTAGCTCTTTGCTTTCCACACAAAGGGTTTCCCCTGGCCACTGCCTTCTGGCATTGAGTCCAGCCCTCCAGACACCCCGAGTTTCCTCCTTCTCTGAGCCACCCTGACCTCGTCTAAGCCCAGCAAGGGAACTGCTCATGGAGCCATGCCCCGAGGACAGGAGCCCTTGGGCTGGGCCTCCTTTGTCAACCAGCTCTCCCAGCCCCTCTGGGGCAGGGTCTTTCTGGCAGGCAGGTGGGCAGCATGTATCCTGGAATCAGAGCACCTGTGACCCCCCCCAGAGCCTGAGGATGTGGTTCATTCAGATCCAGGGCTGGCCTCACACACACACACACACACACACACACACACACACATACACACACGCACACACATCTTTCTAGGCTGGTGCCTCCAGATGTACTTGAGACACTGGGGCCAGGCATCCTACATGTCCCTGACCTCTGATGGCAGAGGAGAGAGCTATGCTTCCAAGGAATGTTCATGTTAAAAGGGGAATTATTTCTGCTCTTTGCGTTTGGAACAATTTAAGCATGACTTAAGTCTACGAAAGTAACTCATTTCAGCTGGTTAGTACTATTGAATTTAACAGGAAAAAAATCCACCCGAAAATGAGTAAATTACCACTTGCATCGTCCTGTCTCTCCAGGAGTAGACTGGTGCAAGCATAAAGCCACTGACTATAGCAGAGCGGGGGCGTTCCAGAATCCAGTGGGGCTAGAGAGCGAAGCAAAGGGAGTGAGTGCAGTGTTTCTGGTTTTATCTGGAAGGAGACTTGGGAGTCTATTTTAGAGTTTTGCCAATACTTTGAAAGTGAAATCGCTCAGTCGTGTCCGACTCTTTGTGACCCCATGGACCGTAGCCCACCAGGCTCCTCCGTCCATGGAATTTTCCAGGCAAGAATACTGGAGTGGGTAGCCATATTCTTCTCCAGGGGATCTTCCCGACCCAGGGATCGAACCTGGGTCTCCTGCATTGTAGGCACATTCTTTACCATTAGCACCGCCTGCCTGTACTTTGATGAGCAGAAAAAGACTTCTCTCTTTACTCCAGGTGGTTTTTTTTCCCTAACTCTTTGGGCTCTTTTGGTTCACAGAAAGAATGTTTGTTTTGTGCATGTAACAGTTTGAAGAATTTCCATTGGGAACAGCAAGTAGATTTTCATTCTGTGTCAGTTCATTGTATTTTCCCTTCTGTTTGGGGCTGGAGATGAGTTTACAGCGAACACTAGCGTGGAGAAATGGATGCCTGCATGCTTTCGAGGTGGCAGGGTCACTTCAGACTTGAGGTCAGTGTGAGCTTAGCGAGGGGTCTGCCCACTGCAGGTGCACTTGCTTTCCAAGTTCAGAGCCCCCTGCACGGGAAAGTGAGGCAGAGACAACAGAGAAGCCTGGTGTTCCTGATCGGCTTCAGCTCTCAACCAGCAGAAGCATGGTTGGTGACCGGGACACATGGTGAAGCCTCAGGTTCTGTGGTCCGAGTCACCCCAAAGGGCATTTGGTTAAACGAAAACTGTCCTCTTTTTGCACCCAGGGGCTTCTCTTGGCTGCAGGGAAGGGCTCAGGTCAGCTGCCAAGACTCAGCTGGCAGTGCCCAGAGCCACGTTTTATGGGGGCCGCTTAGTATTGTGTCAGTATGACTGGGATGTTTATTGCACTTGGAAAGCAGCCATTTCTTTGAGCTAGAGGAGAGGAACATTCTAGAACTTTCACTTCCTTAGCCTGCATTGTGTCAGATCCAGGAATAGCTTTGTAGGTCTTCAGGCTCAACTAAGGTACACAATCTGATACCTTTGGGAGTCAAAATCTATTCCTTATAAGCCTGGAAAATTCATTCTGCAAGAAAGATAGAAAACCTCTAACAGCATTCTATCTTAGGAGTATTAAAACCCAGATGCCAACAGCTGGCAAGTCTTATCCCCGGGTTGTGACCTCTTGGTAACACCGTCAGTAATGTTAATAGTACATTGTTCATTCAGGGAGTCCCCTTTCCTGGGTATGACCACCATCCAAAGGGCTGGGAAGTGGTGAGGAGGGGGTCTGCCTTTGTGGCTTTCACAGCCTCATTGTAGATCTAATTTTAACTCATTTGAATAACACCCAGTGCTTGTAAAAACTCACCTCCACCTCCAAAAATTATTTCAGTGACATGTAGTTTCAATTAGTTCCTTCACTGAAAGGAACCCTCTTTAATCTGGCCTCGGGGAAGCAGATAACACCCACATAATAATTTTTTTCAACACTATGTGTGGTTGTCAGATTTCAGGGTAAACTTGCCCCTAGTATATGTCAGGGTGTTTTGTGAGTCATTTTTTAAAAGGATTTTGTTCTACTTTCTATACCAGCCTATATTGTTAAAATCATCAGAAATGTGTGAATATTTTAGGATTCAAAGCCCACCAAATAAACCTGTTCATAAGTGGGCGTATGTGGTCAGCCTTGAAAAAAAATCAAGCACTTCTCTCTCTGATATTTACTGAGAACTTACCCAGTAACCAGGGTTTCTTTTTATGCAGTGGAAAGAATGCATATTTTTCTTCTAGGAACTCTGGTTTTGTACTTTTTTCACTGAAAAAGAATAATATTCCTGTGCGGTTGTTTCTAAAGCTATGTTCCTTTGCATTTTCCCTCTCATACTCAAAGCCCTGATTTCCTCCTGTTTCTCGATCTAAACAGAATGGGGGCCTGGGGCAGAGAGGGTGATGCAGGAACCAGAGGCAGGGGGATGGCGGCTTTGCTGCGTCTGGTTGAGGATCCAGCCCCTGCCGTTCTACCCACTGTCATCGCTAGGGGGCGCGCTCGCCCGTTAGAAAGTAGCCGGTCCCACTGGCGGCTCTCAGGGCGCTGGCTCCACCTACTGCAGCTACCGGGGCATTGCTCTTGCGCAAATCAGAAGGAACTTGCTGGGTCTGAGCAGGATGGTGGGGGAGGGAACTTAGCGGCGAGCCTGGGATTCGAACCCAGCACTCCTGCGGTACCTGGTGACACCTTGCCTTTCTCTGCTGCTGGGTCTGGGGTCATAAGGGGTCCTCGGCCTTCTTTCTTTTTCTGCATCTGCTTTGGTGAAGGCCCCTTTGAGATTCAGCCCTGCAGGGGCCTCAGGTGTTAAGTTGGAGGTGTTTCCCCTGCTGCTGGGCCGACCCTGGGCGTGGGTCCATAGGGAGGAGGCACCCTGTCCCCAACAAGGGGTTGGAGAAGTCAGGCTCCCTCTGCTTAGACTGGATCACACAGTTTCTAGGTGGAGACTATGACGTCTGGGGTTTCAGATGTCAAGGAGCTGAGTGGGGCAATGCAGATCATTGCATGGTGTGTGTGTGCGCGCGTGCATGTGCGTGTGTCTGTGTGTGTGCTTGCGTGTGCACCAGGGGGAACGAGTGGATACGTGAACAGGTGGGTCTGACTCTTCTTGCAGTCAAGGTCAGGACCTGCTGCATAATTCGTGGGCTGAGTGCAGAATGAAACGGTGAGGCCCCTTGTTCAGAAGTGTGAAGAATTTCAAGGTGATGACAGCAGAGAGTGAAACCAGGAGCGGGCTCTCCTAAGCGCAGGGTGCCCTGAGACTGCACAGATCAGACGCCCATGTAGCCAGCCCTGGTCACACTGTCTTTTCAGTTGGTTTCTGAAGCAGCTGGGGCTTCATCTTCTGCTTCTTACTCTGCAAAGTCTCCCTGGCAGGTTGTGGAGAACTGGGCTGGTAACACTTTTCAAAATATCTGCTTATAAAAGCACAAATGATCTGGATCAGTCAGAGGGTGTAGGATTCAAGCCCCAAGTTGACAGATGCACCTGGTCTCTGGGCTCCCAATCCAGGGCAGGCCAGGGATGCCGAGAGGCCTCCAAGTCTTTACCATTTAACCCACTGATTGGAAATAAAACCCTTCCTTTTAGTCGTTAGTCGTCCACCGGGGGCTTTTCTCCTCTTTGCTGGTGGGTCAGACAGGCTGCTCTGGCCTCTGCCTTCCAAGTGACCATCTGAGTGATGGCAACGAGAAGCAGGCAGCTGGTGGGGTGGGTGGTGCCTGGTGTCCCTTCCACGGGGCTGGACGCTGTTCCTCCATCTCCTCTTCCTGGAGAGAGCGAAGCCTGCCCAGGCTGGGTGCTTGGTACACAGGTGTCTGGAGGCACCTGCTTCTGAGACGCAGCGACTTCCCAGTTGGGCTGTCTGCCATAGGACCCCACCTATGAGTGGGCTGTTGGGAGCAGAGACCCCACTGTGTGCGTAGCCTCGGGTTCCAGAAGACCACATACCAGGGAGGCAGCTGACACGGGAGTCTCCCCTCTCGCTGTGTGCTTGTTCTTACTTTCTTTCACTAGCACTTTCTAGCGCTCAGCAGGACACTCCAAAACCTTTGCTTGACCTTTGCAGATCAGTTTCACGTCTACCTACACAGAGCAATAATCCCGTCTATGTTTCCAGATTCTGTCTGGGATTATAAAGTTTGCTATGTAAAAATACTGACAGAAAGTTGAATAGAGATATCAAATTCATCTTGCATGGGTTTGATTGTGTCATTTTGAATGAAATAACAAATTCTAGCTTTGTTTCTACTTGTATTGCAATCGTCCGGACTACTGAAAGTTCAGAAAGTGTTTTCCAGAGGCATTTAATTAGTATTGTGTCAGAGTTAGTTTTCACGAGTGAACTTTTTGTTGTACATTTTACAAATCAACATCCTTAAAATGTTGTCTGGTAAATATTCACTATTGGACAGTAGATATTCTAGCAAGATCTTTGGTAATGATATTTATTTTAACACATGCATTTAAAATGTACATTGCCAATAGTTCAAGTGTCTTTAAACTGTAAAACCAACTTCAGATCTTCTTTGCTGAAGCCCAAGCAGGCTGAGATCTGTACCCTTTGGGCCCTTTCTTCTACCCTTTCATAATCCTACCTAGATAGAGAAGTTGGCAATCTCATAATTCATGTCCTGTTGCCTTAGCTACATCAGCGTATACCTTCACATCTATAGGTGGTCAGCATATAAATACATGTATACAGATGAGAGTCTGCAACAGAACGTCCTGTGTATGATAAGCAGTCCTCAGCTCTTGGTTTTCTGCATTTTATATAGTTTCCAGCTAAGAAGAATGCAGAATTCCACTACATAAAGTGAAAAAGTTATGCTCTTTCAATGGTTTGTCCAGAAATCTCTGCTGTAAGTTTATGGGAATGTCTATGACTTAATGTACATATGATGTGTAAGAGGTTATGCTGTTAAGTGTTGCATAAACTAACGCAAATTCTGTAGTTATAAATAATTAACTTGTTATTGTAAAATGTGATTTGTCATTGAGAGATTATTTTTCTGTATGTATATGAGAGTATTTTAGGAATCTAATTTAAGTGCATAAAACTATAGAAAAATGTAAAAAAAACCTATTCCAAGAGTAGAGAGTGCTTAATCAGATTACTTGGGTTCAACCCAACTAAATTTCATATATTAAAAAGAAAACCTGAGTTGCATATGTTAGAAATTCAAAGAAGTCATTTTGGAGGGGCATAGAAAATGTGAAGTGGAATGCAACAGGCGGTGTTATGATAAGATGATTAGTGTCCTCTGGCCATGACCTTGGTTGAGACCCCTGTGTTTTATTGAACAGGTAACATGTTCCGGAAGGTGCTTCTGTCAGGAGGGATAGGAGGCTTGAGAGTCTGGTTCCCATAAGATCGGAGTTATGTGCTCTGAAAGCTTCCATGGGTTCTGGAGGATGGGCCAGGAATCTTGGGTGGAGCCAACCATCCTTCTAGAAAGTTCCGAATGTCCCGACTTCCTGGTCACCCTTTGCAGTTCTCTTTCTGAATAGATTCAGTGCATCCCTTTGGTGTTTGCATTGTGCTTTCCTGGAGGCCTCCTCACTGTCCCCACCGTGGCTCTCCACTGTGGGGTGAAGGATGAAGCTTGGGGCTTTCTGGGTTACGCTGTTCCCGGCACACAGGACAGGCAGCACAGGGCAGCCTTCTAGCTGCTCGTGTCCATGGTGGAGACCTCAAGGCCAGAGGCCTTCCTCTTTTCCCAGCCCAAGAAAAGGGTCAGAGGTCCAGGCTGCTTCTCGGGCACAGACTTCTTGTCCTTTGCCACCGGAAATGTCCCCACAGGCCACCTAGGGATGGATACAATGCAGAATCCTATGAAACTCAAGATGCAAACCCCCGAGAGGTGCATTTAGTGGTCCTTTCAGGAGGAGGCAATCCTGTGAGGTCAGCCTCCCTCGTCAGGCTGGGAACGATGGAGCGCTGAAAACGGCCAAGCTCCTGGTGAGTCGCGGGTGTTGCATATAGAACGCTGTGTGTGGGATGTTGAGGGCCCTGGCTCGAAAGGACATATGGGGAATGTGTGCCTTAGGTTTTCAACATTTCTTTCAATGAGCTGTATGCGTCCCAATGCTGTCAACCAACAGTCCAAGTCCTTTTTCAATACACCTGAAATTGGCAAATGCTGGCGTTCAAGTGACCTCCTGGAATTCAGGGTTCAGGGGGTGCAGGGAGCTGTGACTTCTGGGAGCTTCCTGGAATCTGTTATCATAGGAGTGATCTGAAAATCACCTTGAGGAACTGTGTGGGTGGATGTGACTGACTTCATTTCCAAACATGGAGCTGTTTAGGGACCTCTCTGTCCAAGGTGGCCTGGGAAGGCCATCTAAAGCTAGCCAGTAGAAGTGGATAAGCTCCCATCGACCCACCCAGAGTAAGTCCTGACCTCCTTCCTTGGCACCAAGTCCTCGTGGCTGGTGTGGCAAGAGGGCTATAAGTGGAGATGAGTCAGCCAGCCAACCACCCCTTGGGTCCTGCTTGTTACGAAAAAGTCTGGGGTCAAGAAAAGCCAGAGAACGTGGGGTCCTGCTCAGCAGTGACCACTTGCAAGCCATTCCAGTTAGCCTTCGCCTATTTAGAAAAGAATGTATCAGTCCTGACATGAGTCCCTTGTGTTTCCAGCGGCAGATGGGTCACAGTGCTGGGGGCATGTCGCTTCCCTCACAGCCCTGCCCGGGGGGTGGTATAAGCTGCCCCGCCTCCCTGATGGACACCCTGTTGACTGTAATATACTTCTGTTGCCAAATAACGGTACTGTTTAATTTCCCATCAAAGGGAGACTATATTGTTTGGTGTGTAATGTCAATGGAGTTCCAAAAATTACTAGACGCTATTGTAAATTGTAGAATTCTGTATTTGTCTAAGGTTTGATGAAGCAGGGCCAAGATATTAGGTTTCTTTTCTGTTTAAAAGAAGCTGAGGTTAGGTTTGCTCTCTGAGCATTCCTTTGGCACCTTATTATGTAAGAAATGTTAAATTTGACTGATCAAGATTATGGTAACTGAGTTTTGTTTTCTTTAAACCAGTAGCAACATCAATACAGATGGCTATTTCTGTGTATCTGGAATCTAAAAAGAACAATCTCTTCCAAACAATTCTTTGGTCATTTTGACCTGTATGGTTTAAATTCACATAGTTCATGAATAAAAGGAGAAAAACCAACCTTGTTACAATGGATTGCTTTGGGTTCTTTCTGCCCCACTTCCTTTCTGAGCAGACTGTTTTGTTGTTTAGTCGCTAAGTCATGTCCAATTCTTTGTGACCCCATGGACTGTGGCCCGCCAGGCTCCTTTGTCCATGGGATTCTCCAGGCAAGAATGGAGTGGGTTGCCATTTCCTTCTCCACTATACAGCTGTATCTGTCATCTATCTATCTGTTTTTGAACATCTTGATTTTTAAGAACTGCATAGTATCCCATTGCTTGAATATATAGGCTGCTTTAAAATCTTTATCTAGATAAAAAATAGTGCCGTGAAGACTATCACTGTACACAGATCTCTGGGTTCATCTCTGATAACCACACACGGCAGTGTTTGAAGCGTTTCATTACTTCCCTCCCCCGTTTCTATGTGCTTAATCAACAAGGAGGTTGTTGAGTTGGATTCTGGATTGGGCAGTATTACCGGCAAAGATATTTCATCAGCTGTTACATGTCTTCAAAGCTCGTGGTTTGCCTCGGGTATGCGGTGTGTGACGCCCATCAGGAGGCAAGCTGGGAGGAAGGCAGATGGTCCTGGGGAGACAGGAGTGCTGGTTGTGTTACAGGCGCAGCTGCTGAGCCTTTAGAGACCACCCTCCCGTGGAGTCAGTGGGAGGTTTCTTCTCCCTCTTGTTAACAGCCCAGAGGTCCGAGGTCTGGCCTGGCAGGGCCTTGCAATCATTTGACTTTACCTTGAAGTAAAGAGGTGAAAGCTTCACTTTCCACTGTGTCCGCATCTAGCGAGAGGGAAAGGAAACTGCAAGCCCAGTCCTTGTGAAGCCAGTTGGGAAGGGACACTTTTCCTCTCTTTTCATCTGCCGGAACTTAGTAGCTCCAGCATCAGGGATTGCCAGGGAGGGCGGCAAATGTCCGCAGCTAGGTGACTGGATCCCGGGGCCGCACGCCAGCCGGAGCCCTCCTGGCTCCGGGGAGAGGTCCGAGAGGCCCGCAGTGGCGTCTCTGCCCATTGCATGTGGTGACGGTGGAGCTGCTTTGCCAGGAAGAAGTTAGTTTCAGCACCGTGATGGCCGGGAGAGTGATGTCACACAGGTGGAGGGCACACTGGTCCCCGCCCAAGGTGCAGAGGGTGGCCCTGGGCCCCTCTGTACCCTGGACTTCCTAGATGGCACAGCCCTGCCTCTGCCCACGGACGGCAGCTCTGGGAAGGGAATCCGTTCGCTGTCCAGACACTTGGAGGCGACTGAGGAATGGGCACCAGAGGTGGCTGTGTCCAGTCTGCGCTCTTCCCTCTGAGGCCAGTAGGAGGGCGAGCGCCGGGAAGAGCTGGCCTGGCTCACAGGGTGACTCCAGAGCATCTAACGGACAAGGTGTGAGGGGCCCAGACCGTCACCTGAGGCTGTCGCCTCTTGGCCCCAGTGCGGGGCACCACATGCCAGGACAAGCGGGAACAGCAAAACAGGGGAGGTGGGGGCGGGGACCCTGGGCAAATCTCCCATCTCTCCCCTCACTCGCAGAGTGAGGTTTCTCACTTGGACCACAAGGCTGTTAAGGTGCTCAGTCATGTTCGACTCTTGGCGATCTCCATGGACTGTAACCCACCAGGCTCCTGTCCATGGGAGTCTCCAGGCAAGAATACTGGAGTGGACTGCCGTTTCCTTCTCCAGGGGATCTTCCTGACCCAGGAATCAAACTCACATCTCCTGCCTTGCAGGCAGATTCTTTCCTGTCTCAGCCACCTGAAGCTTAAACAAGATATAACATGAAGCAGTCTTGGAAACTGCAGAGCAGCCTTCAGTTCGGGGGTGTTAGATCAAAATTAAGGGCATTTTACTGGGGAGCTTTTCCTGGAGGACTGATCGAGTCAGTCACCCTCATGGTCCATTAGAAACCAGGATTTCTGAACAGGTCCTTGAAGGTGGGAGATTTTGGCAGGCGATCTAGATGGACTTGGTCAAGTGCCCAGTTCCTGTCAGGTGCTGTGTGAAGCCAGTCTGTCAACCCCTGGGGTGAGATGGCCCAGAGAAGTCAAGCTGTCAGAGCAGTAACCCAACATCTCTCACTGACGCCTTTGCAGCTGGGAGACCCAGTGCTGAGCTCGTCGTGACCTCGCTTCCCGCTCGCAGCAGCTGCTCAGCAAGCGGGCGTCACGGCCTCTTCCGTGTACGGGGTGGAGGCCGACCCTTGGAAGCAGAGGCTTCAGGGGTTCCAACAGCAGAGGCCTGCATGTGCACCCCCCAGAAGGCTCTAAGACGCGTCCTCAACCTCACACCTGCTGCTGCAGGGAGCAGCAGTCTAGCCCGGCGACGCACTGCGGGTGGCGCGTCATATCCCCTTACGGAACCTCCCGCTGAATGTTCTGCAGGGTGCCTGCTACTCCTGGCGAGGTCACGTTCAGGCTGGGAGAGGGTCACTATCCAAGCGAAGAAACACGTTACTGTGGCCACAAGCCTTCCAGTGTTGTCAGGATGCCCTATGACCTGACGTGCGGGGGCTGAGTGAGCACCAGGTTCTCTTGAGACAGTGTCTGCTGGTGATTTCAGGGTGACTGTTCACTATCAGAGAAGCACGAGGGTTGCTTTGTGCTTGGCTCCCCAGCCTGGCTGGAAAGGCCTTAATTGGCAGAACCAATCAGATGGTCAAGAATCCGCCTGCAACACCGGAGCCCTGGGTTCAATCCCTGGGTGGGGAAGATCCCCTGGGGGAGGAAATGGTGACCTACTCTGGGATTTTTGCCTGGAGAACTGCATGGACAAAGGAGCCTGGCGGACTACAGTCCATGGGGTCACAAAGAACCGGACATGACTGAGCGACACACACACCAACAGGCAGAAGTTCAACCAAAGAACAGTGCGTTCTAACCACGAGTGTGCCTCCCACCGGAACTGGCGCTCCCAAGAGGGGAAAACTCCTGCCTCTATCCTGAGCTGGCTTTCCCGGCCAGCCTTGGTTCAGAGGACCCTCCAGGGCCTGTGGCGCCCGGCGAGCTGAGACCTGCCGCCGCTGGACCTCTGCCCCAGTGAGAGCAGTCACTGCTTTTAATTAGATTCTCTTGATTCCAAAAGAGCGATGTTTTTGGCCAGAATCTCTCTGGAAGCTTTTATAGACATCACCACCTCTAAACTTAGAATTACACGGAAAGTGGAGAGCAGGACGGATCACTTTCGGCTCAAGTCAGAATGCACAGGCTGGACACATGGACCTGTCAGAATACTCGGGTGAGCACAAACCGGCCCTGTGTGGAGGGTGCTAGGCAGCCGGGAACGTGGCTGACACGGCGCCTTGGGGGCACGGCCGAGGGGGTTGGCCCACGTGCTGTGGAGGCTGCAAGAAGCGCGAAGCAGGAGCAGGGCCGGCGTGTGACCAGAGTGGGCTGAGGCCACTTCCAGCTCTGACTCGATGAAGCCAACAGCTGAAAAACTCGAGATGATGACCTTAGCTTCACCTGCAGGCTCAGCCCCGGCCCAGGCTCTGGACTCAAGGGACAAAGGAATGAAGTAAGTTATGTGAAGTATTTAACAGTGCCTGCTATGAAGGCTATTTTTCCTAAGGGATATATAAGCTTCTAATTTCTAAGAATAATCGACAAAAACTACATTTCAAAGGGCATTTTAACCTTTAAGGGGATCCTGAGAGAAAGATACAAAAAATAAGGCTCCCTGTATTTCCACTTTAAAGACAGTAAACACAGTACATCCTGTTCAGGAAGCACTTTACTGTTGCTCCACGTTTAAGAATTCTCACTTAGAAAATCAACACTTTTACAGAATCTCCCGCATTGCTCTGCTCAGCTTCTGAATCTTTGTTTTTGCAGACATATCAACATATTTCTCTCCAATACGGACAATCATTCCACCCATGATTGACGGGTCAATCTAGAAAAGAAAATAGGTTGGAAATGTGAAAATACTCTGACATTTCATTAATGAAAAAGCAAGATTAAAAAAGTGCTCTGAAAAGTCTATGTGCTATGGAATTGTAACATGTAATAATTACATCTGGAAAAAGAAGTCAAATTGTGAATGGACTCAGTAATCATCTACGTTGAAAATAAACAAAAAGGTTCTACTATAGGCAAAGTTTTACATAATCAGATCTCACTTTCCACTTTCTATAGCCATTTTAAGTGCCAAACAACCTGAGGAAATGTACTGTACACAATTAAAAACCTACCTTAACTTCCAATTTCAAAACCTGGCCTTTGCTTAGGAAGCTCTTCAGGACCGTCTTCAATTCAGTAAGACTGGCTTCATCTAAAGGCTAAAAAAGGACAAAACACCCTTAAATTCAGATAGAAGTAAAACAAAAGTTACTACAGTAGGAGGAGAGAAAAATCTCCCTCTGGGAACATTTCGCTGAGACAGGCCGTGTGAACTCCTGTGTTCAGTTATCTGGGACCCATTCTGGAGTCGCACCCCAGGAGTCACCCATCAATGCTGGTCTCA